GATGACGGCGTGTATTTGATGTGCTCTTTGGGTCAATGCCAGTACTCATTCAAAAGATTGAATTTTACTCTGCTGATGCAAGCAAATCAATTCAGTAATTAACACATAGTATAGACAGGACACAGCATCTAGTTTTCATCAGCCCGCTCGACACCACAGTGACTTTTTAACTAACTAACTAACAAAGAGACGCCTTTCTGGATTAAGATGACTGCATCAAAGTGGTTGCCAGGCGTGAAATTGCCCTCATCACTCAACGTTTTTCTATGCTTCCCCTAACCTTTGAACCGGTCTTCCATTCTGTACATCAATGTCACCTCAATCAGATGTTTGAAGGCACGTGCTCAAATAAGGATGAATAACTTCAAACCAGTAACCTTTTAAAAAGGCTGACAAAGCATCAGTGCTCTGCAGAAATTGAGAATTGTTCAACTAACCTTCCCTCCCAGATATTGTTAGCTGAAATATTTGAGCAGTAAAAATGAAAAGGGGACTAATGCTCGGTAAAAAAATAAAAATAAATAAAAATTCTTGAAACCCTGATTAGGAATGAGGTGGTTCAAAGTGTTCCAAACGGACAGCCTACAGTCTGCAGCCAGCACGAAAAAAAACTCTCTTTCTAGTGCTGAGAACAGTGGTTACACACTATTGCTGTCCAGTCCAGTCCAGTCATTCTTTAGAGATTCTGTGTCAAAAACATTTACAGGATCAAGTTCAGAGGGAGGTTAATCTGTACTCCTCTCATCCTGAAGCTCTTTCAGCGGCCTGTTGTGCAATGAAACAAAAAGCTTGGTAATTAGGAGTAAAACCACGACCTTTTTAAAACACCTTCCTTGTAGCTGAAAACGTCCATGAATTATCCAAATCCCCGTCAGGTCTGTGCAATTTCCTCTAAACAATTTAAAAAATCATGTAAGAAAATTGATGTACTGTACAGTTATTCCGTTTCAAATTGCAAAGTAACTCACACTGTGGCCTTTGCTAAAAACTTGGCTTGGTTAGCATAAAATATAATTAATACATTTCCTCTCATCACAATGACCATGTTTTTTTCTTTTTTTAAAAAGGGTTGTTCACAACTGTGACCAGTAGTTCAATGTTTAGGTAAATGTAGATAAATGGAAAAATAAAAATCATGCAGAACGATTCAGGTGCATGAAAACCACTTTCCAAATCTCACCTTTTCTCCTAAACAGAAGAATTAGACTTGATTCTGGCCTGACCACATGCTGTATGAACAAAGAGGCCCTGTCCATTCAGCCGAAACATGATCCACACTGAAATATTCCCCAGAGTCATATCTTTTCCATCTGCACTTTGGGTAGCTGAGACCCCTCTATGATGATGATGCAGGCAATCATCAGAGAGAAAAGGACACTGTATCCACATCGTTTGCTTTTGTATCTGATCAGATTCAAGAACCTTAATGTAACATCCCACAGAGAGACAAACGCCCTTTGATGAAGCTGTTAAATGCAAGAATCAGGTTTAATTTAATTAAGCTCTTCCTAGGAGATATGTGGAATTTCCTTCCCTGGAAAACTGGGAGTGACCGGTTCAACATCTTTAGAAGATCCAGAATTTCCCGAAATGACCTGGCACATGAAACATGGTACATGAATCTAGACCTACCAACTAAAATTTGCCAGTTATTTTTTTTTCAATGTCCAAATCCTCTCAAATGTAGCCATTCAATCACCTCATGGGCAGCGTCACATGCACTTCTTGACAGGTGGCAGCTTGGGGTGGAGTGCCATCTTTAAACTCCTCAAGTATCAGGGAATCACGCAGATTCTTGACCCCCAGCGTGGAACACCATTCGTCAGACTCTTCTGTTGAGTCACGTTAACCAGCGTGTGACAGCTTTTCAGACTTCCTTCCAGACGTGTAGCGCTGCCAGAGGCTGTCTGGTGCCGACTCACAGGCCTGCACCTCCAACAGCAGGCTGCGTCCGGCTGTTAGCCGCACTAAGTGAGGGGAAAGCATCTTTGCTCTTTCTTGTCAAAGCAGATCGCGGCACCACCGCACCAATGAGCTGCGGGACATCTTTTCAAACGGGCGACAGACTCAAATGGAGGCAAAAACACTCTGCAGGTCTCTCATCAAACCTCAGCTCTTGATGCAAGCGGCTCTCCACCTCCGGCATCTTTAAAATGTTGCGCTCAATATCAGCAATATTCCACTATAGTCACTAAAGTGTCTATAGAGGAAAACTAAATTACACCGACTGTGCATCGTTCATCATAAACTCTTCAATTTCCTAATTCAACTGTAATGCTTCAATATTACCATCATAATCAGCTTTGGGATAATTGTATGGTGCTTCTTATTATCCAGCTTGTGCTTTTTTATTCAGGGCGTTGAACATCCTGTGTTAATAACCTAAACACTGATGTCAAAATGATTAGCTCTTCCAAATCTACTCCTCAAAACTGCATCTGCCTTGAGTCTTAAGCCAGAGCGAGCTGAAAAAGCATAACAGTGACAGAACTTACTGTAAGATTCATGTATCTTTCACAGGCTAAAGTCATGTAGTGGAGTTGGCTCAGCTTTTTTACTTTTTAGCTTTTTGAGTGCTTAGCTTATTAACACGCGCAGTCCTGATTTTCAGGTGCTCGAATGTAATTGCGCAAATGGCTCTAAAAGCTGTTCGGTGGACAAGTGGACTATCCCTTCATTATTTCATCATCAAATCAAACATGCAAAAGGGCTTGGGTTGATGCCATGAGGTGCATTTGCATGTGAAAGTCTGTGCTTTGGGAAAGCACGAGCAGTCTAAGCAGCTCTCCATGCAAATGGGAAAGGTCATCCACAGGGTGCAAAAACAAAACAAATTCACCAGACAGAGTGTACACCATTAGGAATGAACAAATGGTGCTTTATGAAAAGAAAGAAAAACACTCTGGTTCAGTTAATAACATAATAATAGGTATGCCTGTTGATAGAGGACAGCGGTGATGGTGGGCCGCATGATCTCGTTGCATGAAAAGACCTTATAAAGTCCTGAAAAAAGGAAAAAAACAGTGTCCAGGAGAACTACAGAAAAGGGAGTGAATGGAAAAGGGTCAGAAGAGTAGAACAGGTAGAACAGGGGGTGAATGGAAAAGGGTCAGTGAATGGAAAAGGGTCAGAAGAGTAGAACAGGTATTCACATGTACGTAAATGACCATTGTGGAAGTTTTAAACAGCTACAGAAACTTCCATTGAACACGTAAAGGCAGGAGAACGCATGGCTCTCAGGGTCACCTGCATTTATTGATGAAGACAATCGCAAACAGACCTATGCAGGGATATCCTTTCAGCTCAGATTCAGCCGAGCACAGCAAAAACTGACGGTGCATATGGACACGAAACAAACAGCAAATGAGACTCTGGAGGGTCTGAAGGTAAAAATAAAAAAAAAGCTGGGTAAATCATCTGTCATTTGATTCCCAGGAAGCTTCACTTCAGCTGCTAAAGACCCCAACTCACAAAAATCAAACACATGAAGCGAGCCACAGAAAAACTCTGGCAAAGCATCACACAGGCTGGGAAACCATTATTTTGATTCTGTGCATAAATTTCAGATATGAGGCAGTTATTGCAAGCAATAATCTTGGGAGAGAGTCAAAAAATAACATTAAATCTATGGCATATTCATTGTTACTTTGAACCCCTGATGAAAAAGAAAATAAGAAAAAAAGAAGGGTTATACAAACAGTTCATCTAATTCCCAAACCCTATATGATAAGAAGTTCAAACTGAATCGGGGATTCTTCACTTTCAGGTCAGATCCCCGGAATTATCATTACTTGTTTATATTTTGGTGGGGCAGTGAAAGGAGCCCGACATTGTCCAAATATTTTCAGAGCAAACTGTGAGGTGGAGCTGAGCATGTTCCAGGACGGCAGAGAAAAAGGGACACTGTATTGCACCTGTAGGGAGAAATTAACATCATTTCCACTAGTTCGGGACTGGCGCCCAAAGGTCGTGCTTATCGCCACATGAATAATGATTCCTGTGTGCTGAGGCAGCTCTGTGGGGAGAAAAGGCCCACTACAGGTGCAACCTGCTCACACTGTTCTTCTTCACACTGTTCCAGGTGTGCGCCTGGAATGAAAATGAAGAAAGGAAACACACACATGGACATCCAGATGTCTACACTAGGCAGGTGGCTGCTGTCCTTCCGCTTGTTTATCTCTTTCCGGAGCTTCTGGCACAATGTACTCAGTTAAAATTCACATCCCATGTTTTGGACGTGGCAGGTGAGCTGGCAGGTCCTGGCGGGTCGGCTGACATGCCTCGCCACCCCGTAGATCCTCCCCCCGAAGCTCTCTTCCCAGCTTTGACTTTATCTCTGTCTTCCAGTTATGACCCTTCTCCCCATCTCCATCCCCACGTGTTACGCAACCGCCGCCATGACCTATATAGTAAAGGCCATTCTCGTGCGTCTGTGTGTGTGTGTGTGTGTGTGCACGCGTTCGTTTTAATTCCCCCAATGGGTCTGTTATGCATGTTTGTGAGCAATTTAGTGAAGATCTCCTGTGTGCGAGTCCCTCACAGGGCTCTCCGGTGGGCATCTCGAGGTACAAAGTGACCCTGATGTGTCAGTTCTGCTTAAAAGAATGAATGAAGCGCTGGTGGACCACCATGACTCACACACACACACACACACACACACACAAAAACACTACGATTTTCCCAGGGCTCTCCTTATGATCACTGTACCCCGCACACAGCTGACATTTTACCTCAAAGCAAATCTATAGGCTTCCATTTTTATGGCGGTTGCGTGACATGGCCATAAAACCTGCAGGGTTCACAAAAGTTACTGTCTCTTTAGGTTTGTGTTGACACCACACTGTATGTACACCAGTAAAGTGAGATGAAGTTTAGCCCGGATCATAAAGGCTAAAAGGCATCTATATACACATATCTGTATATATATATATAAATATTTACACATATAGTGAACATAGGAGCTACTACATGACTTAGAACAATCAAAGACAAACAATTACATGAACATGTTTATTAGAGTTTCAGAGATGTAAAAATCTGTAAAAGGCAAACTAATAGTAAGAGAGGAAAGGATTGAACACACTGTCTATAATACATATCAATAACTGCAGGAATTTTAAAACAATGAATTGTAGTGATGACAAGAGAGACATTTGGACAATGATTGAGATTTCTTTTTTTAAAGGAAAACTGAGTATTTATTGACACATGGACGTGGCAGGCATCTGTTATCGTATAACCCAGGTGTAATATTACTCAGTTTGATCCCCTGTATCCATGAGAGATCCAACTTAGAAATACCTCGTGTAAAACGTACCGGTACCACAATCTGACCATTTGTGCCACAAACGCCAACACAATGATTGGATGCTGCTAAACGATACACAGGAATGCAAATCAAAGTGAATTATTTCTATGTGAAGGGTTGCCATCACTACACAGTTGAGTTCTCTGTCCTCCCCAGGTGAGGTCAAAGGGCAGTTAGCGCTCACATTACTACACAATGTAAATACCAAACCTTCACATATACTTGAATATATATACTTGAATATACTGAATCTCGCTAAAAGTCATCATCTAGCGTCTTCTGCTTTAGAAATAAATAATTTTTTACAATAACCTACAGGTGGCACAAAGGCTACACTACAAGGTAGTGTGAACGGGCGATGCACCAAGGATTATTCATTTAAATATGTACAGGTTTGGACCCTTGTGGACAGAATGTTAAAAAGGAATGCATTGAGTTTCTTAAGTGTATCATTTTTTTAAAGGACGGTGTGCTCCAAACTATACAAATATAGCTCTAGAAATTCAATGCTTTGCATAATGGTAAAATAGGCCTCTCTTGATTTAAATGTGGCACTTTTCTAAATTAAAACTTAAAACAAGAAATATAGCTCCCAATGATTCAATCTCGTTGGAAATCTGAGCCTTTTGAGAACAGTTAGTTGAACTTTCTCACAATGATGACTATAAATCAAATACTTCTGAATTTGTCTCATATTTTACAACACTTTGTTTCTGGTTTTGACTGTTCTTTTTTTTTCCAAACTTGTAGGGGAAAAAAGCCCTCTTTTTTTCAACACGAAACCATCCTTCCATTACATGCCAGGAGCCACTATTTCACACATCATTAAAATCAGCCACATGGAAGTCATGCGTGCGGGCACATTTCTGCAGACAAAAGCACAAATAGGCATTTCTGACCAAGCTTTTTGCAGAGGAACGGCAAATGTCCAGTGGCAGAGATGACAGCGCATTTGTTGCCGCCTTTTCAGTCACAGTGCAGATGAGATTTCATCTCAGTCTCGAGTTCGGGTTCGTCCTCTGACAGCGGTTCAATGTTCGCTGACCGGTGGCACTTAAAGTGGACAGAAAAAAACTAACCGAAAAATCAGCTACTAATGACTATCAAACTTTTATTTGAAAAAAAATTAAAATAGTCGAAGCGCTCCAATTTGGCACCTAAAATAACTTTGACCTTTTAGTCTTTTTTGTACATTTGATCTAAAAAATAAAAAAAACTCTGCTAAACAGTGGATGCAGGTAAATGCCGGGTGTAAACTTTCTGGAGCAGTGTGGGAACTCCATCCATCCATCACCGTCTCCTTCATTTAATGCTGAACTTCCTTTCAGTTTCTGCTGCACATGACTTAAAATGCATCTTTGTTATGCTACCGGTGCAGGTCCTTTAACAAAATCCTGCTTTTTAAGAAAAATTGAGTTGGGCTTGTCGAGTCAAAATCCAAATACTGTTTAGACTGTGCTGTCTGAGAGTCCGTCGCTCTGGTCAGTACAAGGACAGAATGATGGAGGCACTAGAATATTCAGAGGTCCTCTTGTGGGCCCAGTGATCCAGCCTTTGAAGCAAAGACAGAGAAACAGTCATTGAGCATTGAGAATCACATTTATGACAAACTCATCCTGTCATTGGGAAACATCTGTGAAAGCTAGTATTTGTAGTATCTATAAGGAAACTAACAGGTAACCTGTCTCCCTGGAGCCGAAATCACTTTTACTGTATTTCCAAAGTCCCCAGGGAGGTCAAGCTTAAAATTCTCATCCAGACCATGAATGTCTCGGAGCCATGGCAACCAGATATGAAGCTGCTCATGAGAGGTGGACCCAATAAGGTGCTGTCAAGACGACGGATGAGCACAGATGCAGCCGGACTGATAAACCCACAGATCGGCTTTAATTGAGATGTTTACATTTTCAAAAATGACACTACTTCTTAGAAACAAAACTAGGAAATGTTTCCCATTACAAAAACTGGGAACTGAGGCTATTTCATGATTAAATTTTGATTAACAACAACCTTAACAGACATGAATGTCATTATGTCCACAGCAGCCTTTTTCCATTCTGATCTTTCAGATTTTATTCAGAATTTATTTACCTCAACAAGTCTTTGCAGGTTTATATTCTAAGCAGCTAAATGGACTTCAGGTCTCTGATGCTGACCTGAGCCATATACTGATTTTCAACACTCAAATGTAATCACCTTTGTCATCAATTCTTTTCTGACAGATGCTGATGTTGAAACTAATATTCAGCGAATAGTTTCATTTTAACTCCCCAGTATGAGGGGACTGTATAGACTGTGCTATACTTGTATTGACAAACCCCTTTTGATATTTTGGTGGAAGCTTATCTGCAAATTGAATAAAAAAACACAAAACAAAAAGCATTAACCCCAAACTAGATTAGCAGGCACCAAACCACTTATCAGAAAACAGGAAATTACTGGGTAACAGCAAGCCTCCGTCTGTGGTAATGTCGTCACAAACAACCAAATGCTTTTGTGATGCTATTCATTTGTGAAAGATTCCTACCTTGGCAAGGCTTCTGCTGTAAGCATTATCGAAGGTCTCTAAAGAGCTGCAACATAAATAGAGGGGTTATGAAAAAGAAGAGAGTCAACATATGACGAAAGGAGGGAAAGAGAAGGGAAACAGTGATGGGACGATGAACAACTAGATGTATAAAGGGATGTAAAAAAAAAGTAACACTCATTACTGAACTCCCATGAACAGGAGCAGCCATTTATCACAACTCTGGCATGCATAAATAAAACAGGTCGTATGTGGGCTGTGGGGGGAATTCATACAAAGCCACGCTCAAAGCGAAACATGCTCTGTGCTTCATTTTTACGCCTTTACTTCACACTGATTGTTGAACTCACTGACACACAATGACGCCCCTCCACCACTGACACACACATCCTGCAAATTCCAGCCCCAGGTGCTACCCCATCACCAAAGCGATCACACTTCAATTTGCACACCAAAACACTGGATAAACAAATAAAATTATCGACTTACACTTACACCAAACAGGCAAAAATAAACAGGAAAAATGTGGACACAAAAATAGCAATCTAATTATTGCCAGTGAGAGGTTCCAGCTGGCTGAGTTGGATACCAACGTGATGCTGGGGTTGACAGAAAAGTAACGAGTGGTGTGTGACGGCTCGAAACCGCAGGAGGTGACAACTGCATCCTCAGATTGTAAGCGTTTGTTTCTCTAAACTTCTAAGCTGAACAGTTTGCTTAAATTCTCTATGACAGAATGAGAGGGCTGATAGAAAGGGCTGGCAGTGATCCCACTGAACAGCTCTGGTTTCGTGTCGGTGCACATAAAATAGAGCCCATCAAGCCAAAAGCAATGGTGCTTTTCAAATTCATTAAAGTCTATAAACCTGTGCTGCGCATCACACTGGTAACCACAGTTTGCCTGGGGGCATAAGTCCACTTCAAATGTGTGGTTTTTTTATTTTTCTGCTACATTTGGCAGAGCTTTGCCAGAATCACCGCAGTTGTTTTCTTGGGTCTCAGTCCAAAAGGCATTCAAGATGAAGATGCTGTGGTCTGGATTCTTAAACGATATCAAGTCCAGGCACAAAGGAGGATTTTATCCTCTTGTCTGGTAACGCAGGATATAAAAACAAACACATGCATGCCTCCCAGTGGGATGCCTCACTGGCTGTTTTTTCTCAAATCCTACAGTTAAAAAACCCAGAGGCTGACATGATCATTAAATCACAGTTAAATCATGAATCAGAGATATTGATCCAGCACAGGTGCAACCCCCAGCTGTTGTTCTTTTGATGGAGAATCTTCTGTCTAATGAGTGAAAGACTACACAGAAAGCTTTCTGTTTAGTCATTCCCTCATTAGGCAGGCCTCCATGGAACATCTTGTACAATTAGTATATGGCATGAGCATGTTCCTATGCTCTTTGATAGGGATCGGGGTTGAGGGTCCCAACCACCTGTTCAGCATGAATGTCTCTGATTAGCTGGCAGCTCTACATTGAGCTGCCTGGTTTGCCCTAGATTAGTCCCAGTGATTGGCAGATTGACTCACAGCAAGCGGGTCTTGGCTGAAAGCTGCTACGCTGTTCCGCATCTCATTCTCACTGCCACGCAGCGGTATCAGAGACACGTTACCGTGACGGGTATCAGGAACCACGCGGTTCACTCGGCTCGGCTGGAGTCCATCCTGGGGCCACACGTTGGCGTCACACTTAAATGAGGAGTTTACAGTGACAGAGACGGGGAGGAAGAGGATATTTTTCAATAATAAATCAGTGGAAGGACAAAATCTTCCAAGTTCGGCAGAGCCATACATTTTGTTTGAATATATTTTGAAAGTTCCACCATGTTTGCTATGCATCTCAGTAAAAGGTAAAGGATCTGTTTGTGTGTGGGACAAAGAACACACCTGGATACTCAGAAATGTAGCATACCACTCCCTCATTTCCAACTGGGTTTCACTGCAGAGGTACCTGCAAAGAAAAGGATGGTGATAACTACAGCCAGACAGTGCAGCAAAATCAGGAGGCGGACTACATACTTGCTTTTGTGTGATTCTGACAACATTAGAAGATAGAGGCTGATAAGCTGTCAGACACAGAGGGAGGAAGCAGAGAAAATAGAGAGGACAAAGCGGCAGTCAAAGATATAAACTGAAACTGGCATGCTTTCTCATGGCGCACAACAGTGACGCCCACAAGAGTAAACACTGAGTGATTCCTAATTTAAAAGTGAAGGCGGAGAATAACACTGATTAGGACCTTCAATACCCTGTGTGTCTGTTTGTGTCTATGAAAACTCTGGCTGTTCTCAACTCTAAATGCTCTGCGTGTGTATGTGCATCGTCTATGCCAATCAGGAGCCATCAGCATCAGCTGTGATGCTGAATAAATAGACTTTATTTACACAGTGATTTAAGTTTGGCGCACAGATTTGAACCACTATTAAGCTCTGCATACTGAGACGACGGCGTGACTTCAGAACTCAACAGCATGTCGTGTTCATTGTATCCGACTGGTGATGAATTTAGCATCACTTGGCACACATACACACACAACTAACGCACACAGAGCTCGTCCCTCTGCCTGGCTTACGTCATTATGCCTAACAGAACTCATTAGTGGCTGCAGAGATTCGAAAGGAGAGCACGCATTTCTACAGTCTGGTGTCTCCAACATACTCTGTTGACATTTCCATTTTGCATCCAATTTCGAAGCAAATCTACATCGCCAGATGCAACAGAAAGAGAGCTGAAAATATATTCCAGCAGATAACCGCCCAAGCAAAATAACTAAATTCATTTTACGAAAATGTAAAAGCCGTCATAAACTTAGGCACAGAGATTGAAGGAATAAGATAAGATTAGTGCAATAAAAGGACTAATGTTAACAGCGTAAGAGGAAATTCCGAAGAAATTAAAGGACAAAGAGTACAAAACAGAACTTAGCAAAGGCATATAAGCAACAACTTGTGCTTGTTTTCAGTTCTATTTAAAGTCTTCTACCCGTCTCCTAACTTTTATACAGTTCTCTTACTCTCTTTGCTTCCACCTTTCAGTTGTATTTCCTGCTATTACGGACATAACAATGGACCATTGTATTATCATACTGCCCACACTATGATAGGGAAAGTGCTCGTCCCATTTACAGCTGTCAGATGCTATATGCCGCAACAATGCCCGATAACATGCAGAACCTGTGTGTACTAAATTCAAATTTAGAAGCATCTCGATTTTAAAACGCATGCACAACAAATCCAGTATGGACAGAATTCAAGGTAAATAAATCAAAAAAGATTTTCTCATCATTGCCTATCTGCATTCCTCCAAGCTGCTGAAAGAGGGTAATACATCCATGTCCTGGCAGTGAACCAAGCACATTACAACTGGTTACAAAGTTAATCAGAGCACTTTTCATCTCTTAGATGTGTGGAAAAGAGTAACTAGGAACACAGACTAGGAAAGAGGGAATTAATCGAAGTATGGTTCGCAGCCGGTGGGTTGAGAGTTTTAGGAAGTCACAATGAAAAGGCCTTAAAAGCATAAACCGAAGATCTATCTAAAGATCTCTCTGAATTGCATAGTGTCATGGTTTTTTGCATTGCACAGTTATGGATTTCACTAAATCAAATGATGTCCAAATTCACTACATTGCAGCAGGGTAGCAGTGATAGATGCCTCATAAGAATCTGGAATATACTGAACTGCAAGAAGTGCATCCAGATGTGCCTAAATGCTAGACATGTATCTCTGTAACACACATATACCCACACGAGAATATATGTGAACAGACCAGGAGATGAACAGAGCCATGGTTATAGGTGTTCTCTCATGTTCCCCTCTGGGTGGAGGTGACCTTTCATTTGATTCCTTCTCCAAACTCCCATGCAGGGATCTGACCCGTTTTCCATGCCTATGGAGAAGCCTCAAGCTTCCTCTGATGCTTGTCAAGTTTACGTGCATATCCGAAATGTGATCAAGCTGCCACTGAGGGAAAATGCCACTGCATGCACAAGGCAGTGAACACGTCAGAACAACTGAATGAGATTGGATGAGAAGACAGCATCTGCTCCTCTTGAGAACAAATTAAATGCTGCACTGCAGGATCATGTTGTCCCTGTATAAGCTGAGGAATAATAAAACGTACATTATTTAGCTATATTCCTCATTATACAGTTTAACTGCTCTGTGGGGAAGAAGTAGTCAAAGACATACAAATCATAGAAGCCCTCTGAGAGTCATCACATTATAAACTATAATCTTAGTTTTGTCTCACCATTGCTGTCTCTCTGGTTTCTCTGGTTTCTTGCCCTCATATACGACAGTAAGACCCCAACTAGAAAGAGAAAAAGATGGAAAGATACAAGTCTTCAGGCGCTATTAATATGGGAAGGATATTTGAGCTTAGTCTGGCCCCTAGTGGTTGGTAAATACACAAGCATTAGGAGGCCTTTCATTTACACAGTTCAAAATTATATAAATTTATTAAAAAGTTTAGCAATGGACTTTTGAGTGGATAGAGCAAAAGAACCGATTATCATTTAACCTACCCACTGAAAATTACAATTTTGAGAGCTTCTATTCAAGTGATAAGGCAGCAGATCTATTTAAGTTGTATAGTAGTTTATGCATAGAAATTAAATAATCAATCAGATTAGCATGTTTCTTTTCATATATTTGCTCACCATGTAGGAGGACGGAGTTTCTTCTTAATCCCAAGGTAAACCTTCAAGTTTTTCACCGGCCATTCCCTTTCTGGACGGTTACTCTGATTTAAGTACAAAAAACAAAGTGCAATCCAGCTGATAAGTCTGTCAAGCAGAGTTATGATAAAACATTATATCATTTATAACAACACTATCACTCTTACTCGGACTTCCTTGTACATTCTTAGGGACAGTGAATTGAGGATAAAATATTTTTCATGAAAGTTTCCAGTGGGCAGGCCCAACCCCAAGATGCTTCGCTCTTCCCTAAACTTGATCATCCCGTGCTTGGATACATCGACTTTATTGGCTGGGAGGCAGAACAAAAGATTGTGAATACCCAGTAATGAAGCAGCAAACACAACGTGATTTGAAAAGAAATGTGCAGATTTGTGTTTACATAGAAAAAGGAGCATCGCCTCCATAGCCAAATGTTTTTTGATGAGTAGATGGGAGTCGGCCCCGATGGAGTGAAGGATGGGTAAAACACGCTCTTGATAATGAAGCGGACGTTCTAAGGAGCAGAAGGGGAAAAAAGAAAGAGAGGAAGATGTAACAAAATCCAAACTTCTACATCAAAACGGGAATTGTAATTATCATCAGAGAAACAGCTTGAGTGAGGTTACAGGAAGTTTTTTGGAAACTGCTCTTCCAAACAAGGAATGGGAAATCTCCTAAATCAGCAGTGTGTTACTGGCATTTGATAAGCCTTCAATGGGTTTCCTGCTGGGGACTCCGACGGTCCACATACCAAGCTCAAAACAAACCACAGGCCATACTCACAGTGCTGATAGGGATCTTTTATTCCCTTGAGACTTTGTGCGTCATTTTGGACAGCTCGAGCTGAATGGAGAGCATTTTCCATTTGTTATGTGATTATTTATGTCTTACTGTGAGCCTTTTAATCACTCACTGATGATTTGACATAACTCCTAAATATGGTTCTTTGCAAACCAGAAGCGTTTTAATTCTTCAACACATAACCTAATGGACACTGTGTGAAGATCACTGGTTACACACTTGGTCCATTGCCAGAATCTGATCTAGTCGCACCTCAGAATGAATGAAATGTACACTGCAGTGCTCAGTCTTAGGAAGCAGCAGGACACGACTCTGAAAAGTTTGTATTTTGAGTTGGGGTCTTAGGATGTTGTATTGTAGTTTAAGTGTTCTTTCTCATTGCTGTTGTGTTTGTTTGATCATTTCTATGACCCCTAGTAGGAATAGGCAGTATTGAAAATGGATGGTTGGTTTTTCAATTGGTAAAATGTACAAAAAAAGATATGCTAAAAAACAGAGTAAAAGAGGGGAAGAACCTGGCCACTTTTCACCCCCCTCTGATTTTCCTTTTTATCCGTCTCACCCATTTCCTCCTTATCGCAGACCTCCCAGCAGCTCCAGTACTCTTTGTCTCTTACTGGGATGTTACGCCGGTCCAAAACCTCACATGTCAACTCTGCTGCTGTCATAGAACCAGGAATCTGTGGGAAAAGCAGAGTGGACACTTCAATTGATCGTCTGCAAAGCACAGGTGTTTCAACATCCCGGTGCAGTGTTTTATTCTGGTGCTTAATGCATGTACACAGAAGCAGAACTGGACCCAAAATGTAATTTACCTTGACATGTTGCTCTGTTGTTTCCTTCAATTCCTCCAAGTATACGGTGCAGATGAAGTGGCCGTCACGCTCACTTCTCTGATGGGACTAACACATGCGCATACAGAGAAAAGGTAAGACAACAAAATAACGAAATGAACAAAAGAACACCTTTCCAAAGTAATTGGAAAGGTATACAGTGAATTTAGCCTCTGTTCATTTTATTCAACTAAAGTATTTTGCTTATTACTATATCAACTGTTCATCCAAGTTTTAAACACACTTTTGCATCTCAATTATGACTAACTCAAAATGAATTAAGCTTGTCAAACGCATTCAAATTTAATCCATATGACTCACAGGAATTTTCAGAAGAGTTAGGAAATGCAACACAAATTGTTGCCAATTGAACAATTGCTACAAACTGTTCCATGAAACAATGAGAAAGCAGGCCATGGCTGGAATTGATACTGCATATAATCAGTCCTTCAACATATTCTGAGCTTGTGAAAAAATTATTTTTATTCCATATATAAAGCAGATGTGTATTGTGTGATTTCTATTTTAATTCTACCACACCAACAGTGGCGTGTTACAGCGGCTCTGGACACCTTGTAACTGGTTATTCCACTGCTTTTTTAATGAAAACACAAATTACTCTTTAAAAAAAAAGACTGGTTTGGGCCTTGATGTTTAACTAAGCAGTTACTTTAGTACCTTGTTCCAATTAAATACCAGGATTAAACTTCATACACAGACAAAATGACAAGGATGGATACAGAGAAGAAGTAAAAAGGAAAGTGAGAAAGTGCTGAACTTTTCTATCCTTAGTCATTTTGGCAACAATTAAAAATGAACAGCTTGGTGCACTGACAAGGATATTTCAGAAAAATCAAGAATCAGCATTATATGTTACACTTAGACAATAAAAAAAAAATTCTGGACTAAACTCCCACTCAGCATTTCCTTTAGACTCAGGAGAATTAAAGTGGTGGGATTACATTGCATGTTAATTTGAAGGAATGGCACCCATGCTGGCAAATTTCCCTCTGTTACCTTTAGATGGTCAGTGTGAACATGTCAACTTTGACATATACATAAAATTATGTAATTTCCTGTATGATTAGATATTTATCCAATTCAGTTAGGGTCAATTAAAAGAGATAAAGACATTTTAAAGCAGTGTTATTGTGTTTTCTGCAAGTGTGAAAGGCTCACTGGAAGCATTGTCATGGGGTTTTCTCGCATTTGGATGATGGCTTTGATCTCTTCCAGCTGCTTGTTTAACTGCAGTTCATCAACCTGCAAACAAGACATAACATGCGGTCTTACTTGAGGAGTAAATCTTGACAACAACAAAAGAAATTTCTACTATAAGATCATGAGAGACCTATTTTTCTCCTGACCGGAATCCACCTCTAATTTCAATATTTTATTCATAAACATAAATTCAACGAAGCCAAATAAAAAAAAAATCTAAAGTTCACTACTTCACTTATATTTCTATTCATAAGATATTAATGACTTTTACAACTGTAAATACCACCTGTAATAAAATAGTAATGACCAGAATTTCTTGGACAGGGATTCAGCCTCTTGGACCTTATTTTTTCCTTTTTAGACCGGTGTTGTGCTTATATCGTTTGCCATTTACTGATGTAATTGTTTGGGGAGCTGCTTTGAGAGCAAAATATTTTAGAACCTCTGATCATTCTTTTGTTTAGCAGTCTCACCTCGAAGATGAGCGTGTAGTGCTCTATGAGGTCTTCAATGGCACGGCCAGCAGTGTAGTCCTTCCCATCTGTCTGGAACAGTGTGGGACCGAACACGATGGCCAGGTTGTGGAGGTTCATTTGATTTAGCTCAGAAAACCGCTGCACACTAAAGCATACGAACAGGGACCATCAAAAGTTTGTGTGTACAGATATGTCAAGTGTGAATATCAATCAGACAGTATCCATTTCTTACCAGTAGAGGTGGTTGATGAGGGCTTGTAGTGTAACCTTGTTGACATGAGGAAGTTTGTTCAACAGGACCTTGTACTGAGAAATTTTTGCACTTTCGTCCTGATTGGCTGAAACAAAAAAAAAACCCAAAAATCAAACAAGGAAGAGGAAATGGTAAAGATGGAAAGCAAGGTGTGAACAATTACAGTAAAAAAAACAGGTTAGAGCAGGTGTTTGTATGGGAAATGATAAGCACTTTGGAAGTAAATTAATTATAAAGAATATAATTATTTAATAAAAAATGATACTATTATATCCAGCACATAGTGGAGCGTGGAGCTGAAAATACTTTGAGATACAGTCATAACTAATGTTCTGTTGAACAAAAACAGTTGCATTGGAACCACTTTCTTTTGAAGAAATATCCCCCAAACTATTGAAAGTATCCCATCATTTATTAACAGCATGCTCACTATCATGTACTCTGGTGCTTCTTACCAGTGACGCTGAGCCAGCTGCTGGCGTCCTCTGATGTGAATAACCCTTCTTCTAACTCTCTGAAGAAGCGTTTGAGTGTGTTGGAAACATCGTCAACCTGATGCTCCCCTTCCTTCAGACGAAGACTGCGAGCATCACGTCGGAATCTCTCGCACAAGGCCGTCACACGGGAGTTCACGCCGCTCTTGCGATAAATTCCCTCTGAGGTCAAACCTAAGGAAATAAATATTACAAAGCATGAGTAAAGAAAGGACATAAATAACTACACAACAATTAAGAAAACATGTTTCTCCAACTAAATTATTTGTATTTTAATATAATATATGCCAACAGAGGTTCAGGACTGTCAATTCTTCTTTTAAATCTTAAGAAAAAAATGATAAACTGTAAAATCCAGCCAGCAACCCATGTTTTTATACGCAAAAACATCCATCCTGGATGTAATTTTGGCCACGTAACAGTTAATGATACCATACACTAGCAGTCATTATCAGTTAGTTAAACCACTTCTGGGGGCAAGTTACAGCAAATCTATAACAAATTACTGGTTGGGTGAGAGCAGCAGCAAGCTTATTTATCGCACGGAAACCAGCGTGGTGCAGATTAAGTCTTTTATAAAGTGGATAAAAGTTTGTCAAAACAGTGGGTGTGAACACCATGTGTTATTCAGATAAGAAAATGGTTGAGCAAATAAAGGCAGTAAAAAAAATGGGGGGAAAAGTCTTGTTATAACAGTTAACTTGAATTTAACTTGAATTTTTATCAGACGCTACACATTGGTATTTTTTTTGTCGGGCAAACATTTTCCTTCTTTTTAATTAAGGAAAAGGAAAAACAAAACAAAGCACTTGACGAAACGATAGAAAATGATTACATTAGCTGTACTAGCCCACAAATGCAAAAACAAGGACAGTTTTTGTCATGTGGCGGGGAGGGGAGTGATGAGAGATAAGAACACAAAACAGGGGAAAGAAAAGCTCAGAGGAGCAAGGGACTGAAAGGGAGGTGGAACAAAGTTGCTTTGTTGTCTTGTGGTACTTTGGTCTCTCCCAGAGCCAAAACCCCTGCTATTACAGTCACATGAGCACACTGAGACTCTGAGAGCAAAAAGTGAGAAGTCACAGTTGAACATAATTGCATAGAGTGGTGTACACCGTGGGTGACTTCCTCTGTGATGGCGGGGTTGCTGAACAGCTCAAACAATGAACAGCTGGACAACCTGCGAATGATGGTATCTCTGATGGTAGCTTCGGTCAAACGGTGGCTATCTCTTACCGCACTGTGTGATGTAGTCGATGCAGCTGTGGACTATGACAGGTATATCTGTTTCTGTGAGCTGCTGTTGGCTCAGTGTGGCCCCTCCACTGCCTGCTGCTGCCTGGATGGCCGAACACCAGCCAGCAAAGTCCAACTTTCTTTCCCCTTCAATGTACAGGGTTCTTAAAAAAAAAGAAATAAACAAAGAGAAGGGAAATGAAAAATTACAAACAGATATTCTCTGAATTCTATAACACTATAATGGGTATGATAATCCATCCATCCATTATCAATGCCGCTTCTTCCAAGGAACCCTCTCCCAGCCATATTATAATAATGAACTTTTGAATTCAGAACAATCATTTCTAATAATCTTTTCCATACAATTTTAAAGAGTTTTGAGTTAATGATATAAAACCATTTTTCTTGAAATAATAAATCATACACAAATCTACATAACCAACGAAATAAACAAACATTTACATTCTTTAAGGGGACAGATGCTGGGGAGAGATCTGTTCTATTCTTTCATCTTACCTGCCTTTCTCTACCAGAACCAGCACTTCATTGTCTTGCTGGATTGCTGGAAAATAAACAAATAAAAAATCGTAATTCTGTCTGATCACCTTTAACTTTGCTACTGATTTGTATTTGCATGTCTCACTCACAGAGCTCATTCAATTTGCGGAGGTGGATCTCCTCTCCTTTGCTGTCCTCAAGGTATGCATGAAGTATGGAACCCACCAGGGCAAACCACCCAACCTTGGACGTTTGTAGGTTCAAGCCATCTTTACACTTCAGCCGCCCAATTCTCTCAAAACCCAGTCCCAGCAACGGCTCTGCTCTGGCTGGAATAAAGCTCTAATATATATTTAAAAAAAAGGAATAATGGTAGTTAGATAGTAATCTTTTTTCTACCATTCAACCACTTAGTTCTGTAAAAATCATGAATTATAATAACCAACATATTCAGCACTTCAGCTGGGGTCAGGTTTTACAGGTTGATATTACTTTGCATATGCCATGGATGCACTAGTGCTACCTTTAATTATAACATCATTTCACAAGTGCTGTGTGACCAGACACAACACTAAAAGACATCAAACCATTTTCCCCACAATGGAACTTTGAGTGCGCACAATTTGTTTTATCCATTTCAGAATCAAGCAGCTTCTGTCTTTCAGTGGTTGACAGCAGATGGTTAGATGGTCCCACAGCTGACAGTTACTGTATGCTAAACTGCACGGTCGGATGTGGAAAAGAAAAACAAAGCATTGTAAACTACTTGCTCCCATCTAAATGTCTGTATATCTGGAGCTCCATACCCTCTAATTAATTGGACACAGATGTCCAGTTTAAATAGTAAATGTTGAGACAGGACAATCTCACGATATACTTGATGTATTCTGGTAGCCAAATACAGAGGAGAGTCTGTTACCTTAGCAATAGACTTGACCCACTCTTTGTGGCTGTCTGCATCATCAGTGCCAAACAAATAGAGGCGTTCAGACTCCGAGTAGAGTTCAAAAGTGTATTCATACCTGGGGGTTCAAAAGAGATGAGAAAGAAGTGAGTCTGTATGAAATATATTCTTGCTTTTATTTTTCTTTTAAGAGATATTTATCTCAGTCAGAGGTATGTGTGAAAGAGAGTGATAAGTGCATACCCGTGTTTTTCAGGCACATCAACAGCCAAACAGACGATCTCTGTAGCCTTAAGAGCCCCATTAGGGTTTGAGTTCTTGTCACTTTCATAGTAGCTGAAAGTACCATCATTTAGCGTGCACCAGCGACGACTGAACTCTATTTGGAAGGATAAATGGAGGCTTTATATTATTAAATGTGATGCTAACGATGATAAACAAAAACAAAAACATAAACATAAAAGGATTTCAAACATAAAAGTCACACTCATGGGAATAATCATGTTTATTGTGAACATTTTAAAAACATCACGACTTAATTAAAAAGTTTGTTTCCAAGTCTGTTTCCAATTACTCTTTTCATACTGTAATGAAAGTGTTATCATATCTGTACATACCTTCTTTGGCCTTGCGTTCTGTAATGGCCCGGGCCATGGATCCAGTTTTGAACAGGAAGCCGTTGTAAGACACAGAGGCCGGTGGCTGGTAATGTGACAGATCCATATCTCCCAATACCTCTGATTGTGGAAGCTCTATAAAGAAAAACATGCACACACAGGTGTGTACACACACACACACACATATATATATTTATACATACATATATATAAATATTGAAGATAAGTCAGTCTGTGTTATCACGATAAGATGTAAACAATACTGTGAAGGTATCATAATGGCAAGTGTGTGTTTGTGTCTTTTAAATTCAGGGACTGAAAAACTGCACAGGCTTAGCTGAATTACTTTATTTCAAATTCTAAACATTATCAGGATTTGTGAATGTTTTACATTCTAACTACAGTAGTTTTCTGGCACCTCAGTCTGTGGAAAAGTATGAACATTTAGTGCATAATTTCCGTCACAATGTAAGCACCATTAAAAACAAAAAGACGCCTCTGTGACCCCCTGCCTGTACACAAAATCTTTACCTGTGTTGAGGTTATGGCGGATTAATTCAGCCTGCAAGGGCTGCGAGTGTGCAGTGGCTAGGGAGAGAGGAGACGGACAGCCTTCCATATCCGTTAAGCAATTCACATCTGCACCACAGAAAATCAGGCTTAAAGTCTCAAGAACATCGCTGCTTTGCACATTTATACAAAGAGCCTGCAGAGAAGGAAAAAAAGCAAAATACACAGAGATACATGAGTAAATGCCGCCACACTATCGCATCATAATTTACAGTAGTTGGAAGCTGAAGTAAAACATTAATGCAAATCCAAACATTGGTATTTCCCCTATATAAGAAGCACACAGCACATTAGTACTGCATGTCTCTGTTGATTAGGAGATCAGCTTGAATGAAGAAAATATAAAAAACTAATGAAGAAGTGTAATTTAACAAAGGCAAACCCAAAGAAGGCCAGAAAATCTCAAATTTTTCATGCTGCAAACACTGTATTGATGCACTTACAAACAAAATTAAAATACAAGAAAAAACGTTGTGATACTGGAAAAAGAGAATGAAAGTGAGGGGGATGTAGGTAACCTGTTCCAAACATAAAGAAAGATGCACATAGTGCTGCTTTACAGTTGATAACAGACTAAATGTCTATCTCAAGCCTAAGAAAATGCTAACAAACCATGTTGGCTTTCTGCATTCAAATTAGATTTAATAAATGAGCTGACAATTTTGGAGGCTTACAACTAAGGACAACGTCCTTACTTGTCCTTACTTGTAAACCCTGGCATTTGCAATAAGTCTTACATTGATCCCAGTCACAGCACAGGTACAGCAGGTACAGAAGTACCAAATTTGGCAAAGGAGCTTTAAATCCTGTCCTGACAAAAAGAGCAATGTTTGCATTGTTCAAAACCACGGTCTGCTTTACTCCTGATCAAAACATGCAGATTTATGAGTCCTTATGAGTCCTGAGCTTGTGATGAAGAGTCCCATCTTCCTATGTTGTACTATGCCAATGCTACACAAAAAAATAACTCACTGTAATCATTTTGGAATTCACTGTGCCGCAATTATCATAAACAATAAATCTATGAAAAAGTGCTCTAAGTCCTTGATATGGACATTTCATATCACCTGAACCCTGGAGCTATGTTGTTATGATCAGTTTATGAATAATAAACAATCCTTGCTTTGGTCGAGTACACTACAAGGTAACTTAACGATACCGAGACACTCCACTCCAGATGTCATATAAACAAGAAAACTGAGCACAAACATCAGTGGAGAGATTTCCCATATTGAACATCACATACATTTTTGTTCCAAAAGTGGATTCTTAACCAGATGAAAAACAATTACAGATTTCTGTACATGTGGGAAGGTGGAGAGCTTCATAACAAAGGTAGGCTTCATTCTGACTCATGCAAATGAACACTCAAAGACAGACATGCACATCTGGCCTCAGTTAAAACCAATAAGCACTTTTCAGTGTGATTGAGAAATTCCTCTGCTCTCATTCACACACACACACACACACACACACACACACATAGAAACAGAGCCTCTCGTCTGTGTAAGCAGTCTCTATACACACATTCAAACAAACAAACAAACCAATTAAAAAAGATTAGCATTGCACAAGACATCCCCACACACCCAGACAATATAGACATAGCATTTTTCTGTCTCACACCACTCTGAAGACAGCTGAGCAAAAATATGTGGTCAATCATCTGGAGAGGACCGCATGCACATGAACACTCATACAACCGCCATAGGGGACTTTAGTCTTAGTGTTACAGTAGCTACACTACACTAAACATTTTCTGTCTTTGGTAAGTAAACGCTTATTTTAGAGAAGCCCATCTTCCTTCTTTTAATATTTGGCAGTTTACTCCTTTCAAACATTATAATGTCGTCACGACGTGGAGCCAACTGAACTTCTTAATTCCACTTTACTCTGTGAAAAGTTAATTGCATCCTTTAAGCAAAGTGAATCCTAAATTATACAATTTTACCAATAAAAATGGGGGCTTTCAGGGATAAAGTTATATGTTTCAATTTTCAGATTTGATACTTGTTATTTGCGATCAAAAAATGCAAAACTGACATTTGACAGAGCCCCACAGTCTCCGGACCAAAGACATGGTAATTTCATTTAAGTAAATCCACAAAAACAAACGTTTAATTTAAAACAAAACACACGACAACCACACAAGTAACCAGAGATATAGAGAAACCATTTTATAAAAATCTACACTAGGTGTGAATGTCGGCAGGCTGTTCATCTCTGTGCCTCTGTTTAAGATCACGTTTTGTTTGATTCAAGTATAAATTTTTGAACTGTGACATTTCTGTGTGGTATATTCATAACCTAATAACTCTGTACGGCGTTCCAGAAAAACAAGAACAAAACCCATCCCAACATCCACGTGTACTTTAATGTCAAAGCTATGACTATAGGTCAGCGTGCAGAACTGATAAGGCCGAGCACGTTCCCTCTGATCAACTGATGCGAGCCAATCCGAACTAAGCAAAATGAGGAAATGAGCTGTTTGAGTGTTTAAAGACCTCACCCTTCAACATCTGCTGCCTGGGAAGAAAGGGAGTAATGTAATAACACACACATAGAAAAGAGAGGAGAAGGGAATACAAGAATCTTACCCAAGTTCCCCAGAGAGAAAGACAGAAAGAGAGAGAGAGAGAGAGATTTTATCTGGGTGTGTCTAAAAATCACATGCCTTCATCTGCCCTCTGCATTTACATAGGAAGGAATTGAAGGAAAAGAATGAGAAGAGAAAAGCATTGGTAGAGAAAACATTGTGAAAAAAGATGAAAGTCTTTCAGTGAGACGCATTAATCAGTCACTAATTGTGCTTGGCTGGAAACCCAGTCCAAATAGAGACAGCAATACTCAGCTTTTAGCATCTATAGTACATATTCTGTAACAGCTTCACACACATGTTGGTATATGTATGTACCCATATTAAACCCAGATGAGAATGGGCGGCTATCCACATATGATCCATCATTACATCACTAAGTGAAAAGATGGAGAAAGAGGTAGATTTGGCAGATGAAAATGGAGAGGGGGGGGGGGTAAGAAATGGGGGAAATTAGAGGCAAAAATTCAGAGGGGAGGGATGGGAAGGGAAATATCAAACAGATTTTGGCATTGAAAACAAAGTTTACATTAACTAAAACCCTACAGAGTCAATGTGAAAAAGAGGGAACAGAGAGGGAAAAGGCCAGAAATTAAAAGCAGGATCAAGAATAGCAACCAGCAGTACAGTTTATTTTTTCCCTCTATGGAAGCCACTGATAAATTCTCAAATCACTAAACATTGATACAAAGACATTTTTGGGCAATGTAACCTGCTAGTTTGTTATTATAAAAACAGTACCAATGACACTCTTATTATCAGCAGCACACAGTTATCACACCGTCAAAGACGAGAGGATCTGCACATGTTCAAAGACACAAAGCGCCCGTCCAGGTTAGGTTCAAGACACGTACAGATGACCTTTGCTCTGCTAAACGTAGCATAAAAATCAGTCTCAACTACCAATTCCTTAACAGGAAATTGGAACCTGTCTCAAAATAAGTACTCCATCAGAACTTGATAAACTGACTGCTGTGATTTCATTTGCAAACATGCAGAGGGAAGCGATGAAACAATGGGCCCTTTAATATGTCTGACCAGAGGCTGTGGACGGCATAATAGCACAACATGAAGGAAGTCAGACTCATGAATGGCTGTCACTTGATTCTAAACACACTTCTGACGAACATTCAGGACATGTCTTCTTAAAACAAAACCAAGAACATTTTGGGGTAAAAGGTGAAGGGGACCGTTATAAACAACATTCTCAAAATTCTGTTGAAATCACTTATCACTACATTTACATAGACAGTCTGGGACGTGCCACTGACATGAAAGGAACCACACAAGGTTAGTCAAGTCATATCTATCTAAAAGAGTTTCAGATAAATATTAGTCATGGAGCCTAAATCTGGGCCGTGCTGAAGACTCCTTAAAGCTCACACCCACCACAGGATAATGCTTGGATTTAGTGTCTTTCTTATGTCATGTGAAGTAATACAATTAGCTTAAGTAAAATATGTCCTTAAGAAATAAATGCCTGTGAGTGATGCATCATTTAAAAAAGCTGTTACTTGGGTGGCATTATGTTCAGACCCAGCGTCATGGTGATATGGTTAGAGGACAGAAGTTTAGTGTTCATTTAAAAGTTGAGAGGAAAACTGGTCCATGGTTTATTTCTAAACTGGACTATTTTCAGTAACCAAATTATTTACTGTGTTTGTAAGACCTCCAACTTATTTCGGCATAGCTCTTTGGTCTCATTGCCTTATATAGTTTCTTACAGACGAATGGGAGGCACAACATTAAGTTATCTGGCCCTTCCACTTTGGGGTGATTTCTCCCACAGGTGAGGAGGCCAACAAGCTTTTTTAGGGGAAGACAAAATACTTGTACTTCCTTTTCTTAATATTCCAGTTTGCACTGGCTTCACGATCCTAAACCATCTCTTAGTTAAGTTGCTGAGCCTTTGGAGGAGCCTTTGGAGCTCCACTAGTTAAATTTCAATCCATGAGTATGCCATAACATCATGTCAGCTTCATAGTTTGAGCTTTTTCTCTGTCTGTATTACCATTACTGCCCTGAACAAACTGCCTCTTTTTTAGAGTTCTCTCCATGGGTTTCTCTTTTTGTGCTTCCAAACTTAAAAGCAGTTAAGGCAGATAGCCCACTTCCCCAAATCTGATGTGATCCCAAACTAAACTGTGTTGAAAATGCAGTTAACCCCTCCACAAGCACTCTGATCACAGTGCTTGTTTGCTTCCTCCTCATGTTGTGCGCTGAGCTTCTAGTTTTATAGTAAAAATGTCATTACATCCATGATTAATAGAATCAAAATGTAATGTTGACTACATGATGTGACTGATTGGGAACAAACACTCACTCAAATGAGAGGGATAAAGACGTCCACTGACAGTTATTGACAAGTTATTACAGAGTGAGAACACAGAGTACACATGGACAAAAATACAAAAATGGCACAGAAGCATGCCTACACATGCACATTAATATGCATGTTGACATATCCCAGCCCACTTCAGTGGGAAACATACACGCAGACGCACAGTAACTCCAATGTACTCGCATAAACCTACATTACAGGAAACTATGCCACATAAACACACTCAAAGATGCATGTGTGCAGTTTCATTGAGCTCACACACAGTCTGAGATCCAAAGTTCAGTGAAACACGCAGCCTAACGAGCTTTAACCAGTCATATTCAACAAGCATTCACCTTCTTTATCAAACTTATTAGGTTACAAGAAAACAGAGCTGTAGCTGCACAACCTAGTTTCACTGCCCTCTTCCTCAGCTTAGTTCACACCTTTAGCTTTTCAGTTCCTTTCACACACTGCTCAGTTTGAATGTAAACTGACACTGACAGGCACGCCTAAAAATGTTAGAATATCTCGCTGGTGAAGATTTTAGTCTGACACAAAGTTAATAAACAACTTACAAATAAGAAAAATACCCAAGAGTGTAGAGACCAGCTTTCCTCAGCAATCCCAGCCAAACAATGAGGGTAAGAGAAGGAGGAGGAGAGGGAGGGGCGGAGTTACAGCACATTCCAGTTAAATCAGCGAGTAATGATGTCACATTTGGGGGGGGAGGAAAAACAGAGTTGAAGCAGTGGAGAGGCTGGATTAGATTTACTAAAAGAGTTAAAAAACACTGAAAATTCAAACAAATTCTCAAGTAATGCCTCATAGACAATAAACTCGGAAGTTACTGCAGAGTTGCCACAAACACATTCTTAGAGTCAACCACTTCTTTCAACACACAAGTAGAAAACAAACCAATTGCCAGCTGATTTCTTGCCAAGTATTTTAATCACAAAGAAAATCCAAACAGGTAGAGTGGCTATAAAAACACTCCTGAGAGAAGCATGGAAACGTTGCTTGCAAAAAGACGGAAAAGGGTTGGAAAGTCTGAAACCCTGTTCTCTGAGACGACCAAAAGCAATTGGGAACAGGAAAGTCTGTAGAAGCATTAAAAAAAAGAAAAGAAAAAAAAGCAGTAGTAGCAGTTTAAAAAATGGCAACTTCCTTTATCTCCGTCTTCACATCCCAAACAGTCTCTTCCACACACACAAACACACACACACACAGACTTAAATGCCTGAGGGAGGAGAAACATACAGTAACTCAGGGTCAGGTGTTAATGTGACTCACTAGCATGCTCAGTTTGTCGGTGAGCTGTACACATTGTTGTTGTAAGTGGGTTAAGCGGCTAATGAGTGACCCAGCAATGGCTCAAATTCTAAGACTTTTACCACACATGAGGGAGCACTGCAAGTCCACAACGTAAAAGCTATTCCCAGGCTGTTTCCAAATGTCCCACTTCAAACTTTAGCCGGAGGAAAGCCTTTCTGCCACTGACAGAGATACATAGACAGATACATACTCTGTTTGTTATCTTTGGCAGCCTTGTTCTCACAAAAAAACTGAATTAAAGTGTGACTTGTCCTCAAATCTTAGAGGTTATGTGCCCATACCAAGAGGCATGCCAATCATTCTCAGGTGTGAGTCACATTTATAACACAAATGAGCATGAGTCTCATGCATAAAGACTGCAATCAAATTTAAAAAATCACTCTTTTAATGCACTTTTTAGTAGTCCTTCAGGTACTTAAGATCCCTTATGGCAAAAAGAGGCCACAAAAATTTTGAGTCATAGTTAAAGAAAATTCAATGGCTCCATGTCTGTGAGCCAGAACAGTAAGTGGTTGCTTAGTCATAGTCCACAAAGTGAATATATAACAGTGTGTAAGCTAAATCCAGTTACAGCTAAACCCGCCATAGTCTAAATCAGTCTAACCAGCTCTGGAAAGAGGCATACAGAAAAGCCATGACTTAGTCTGGAAACATAAATACATAACCATTTTGGGACTGTATCACACAACTAGTTGAGCAGGAATAGATGTGGTTACTCACAAAGCAAAAATCAGATTTGTGTACAAGCTGAAAGCCCACTTGTCTTCACCCCCTACTCCCTTTCTGCCCTATTTCTTGTGCACCGACTGTCACTAATACTGATTAGTGACATTACTGAAAAAAGTGCAATTGGACAAAAAAAAACAACCTAAAACATAAGAAACTCTTTTTCGGTCACACCTACTGTAAGTGTGTAGTGTCATGTGTGTTCATGTCTACTGCTGCCTGAGCTATAAACTGCAGCCATCAAATCAAACTGCAGTTTCGTTCCTCTACTTTGTCTCTTTTTTCTGTACACACCTCCCTGCTACATGCACACGTTCTGCAAAACTGGAACTTCTAGAAACATTCCAGTGATGTAGCACCTTCCAATGAGTTTCTGTAAAGTGTGAATGAACCTATTAGTGCTTTAGAATGCAACTGCAATTAGAGTGAAATGATCAAGGCATCACATTTGGTAAAACAAACATTACAGATGTAGAAAAATCCCAACTCCCTTTAAATGTTCCTCCACAATATAACTTTAAGATACATTCTTCATTATAAAACATCTATAACCAAATGAAACACTAATGTCTTAAGCAAAAACAAGCATTCCAAAGAGGTTTTCAACTTACATTGTTGAGCTCTCTCTGGTTCCCATACAGAGGATGATATTTTCTGTATTTGCCCTGGCGGTACTTGTTAGTGATGAAGCGTCGTCTGTCTTCGCTGCCACTGGAGGGCGTCAAAGCTTCACTTGGCGGGACATTAGCTGCCCAGAAACTGTTCACCCGCTCGTTGCCAATCAACAGAAACACCTGTTTTACAGGTGGTGTTTAGAGAATACATTTTAATATAAGAAAGAGGAGAGGTGATGTTTGTTTTATCAGCAAAACTACAAAATCTGTTTGTGAAATGTTCAACTAAATGCCTTTCTATTCCTTGAAAAAAAAGAAAAAAAAACTATACATTCACCTTAATGAGCTCCTCGGTCCACACTTTCCTGTCCATCTTCAGACTCCGAACCTTTGAGATACTGGGACCCAGCCCTCTGTGCTCTCCTGAAACGTCAGCAGGCTTTATGAAAATATTCTGCAACAAGTTCTTTATTACTTTTAAAGCCAGACATGATCAGTTTGTCAGTGAGCTGTTACGATATGAAAAGCTCTGAAACAAACCTGCGCATCGTTTGCAGATCACCACGCACAAGTTGATGGCCGCCCAATCCGGTTTTGGAACCCCGCAGTCGGCGCAGAAACTATTACTAGGCTCCGCCCAGATCTGCTCGGCCACCTCACTATTAGACAGTGCCTCACCTATGGCGTTCCTCATGGCGTTCACCCATTGCTCTCTCATCTGCTCTGACTCTGCAATAAAACTGCGTAGAGAGACAAAAACATGGCTGAATGTTGTTGCTGACATCAAGACCACGCAGTCGACTCTTAAGAAGATTAATGAACCCAGTCACTGCAGCTGCTGCTTCATGGTGGCAGGCAGAAATATCTGCAAAAATATCTGCCTGTCTGACTTTTTTTTGCTGAATATACGTTAATCAAATCTGGGAAAATCCGAAAAATCCTCATCCATGCACACATAGAGATGAATGAGAGGTTTGACACAGACTCTTGTCTGGATGTTCCTCTTTTAATGAGTCTGGAAACATTCAGGCTCTGTCTGTGTTTAAAAATAGTTATACAGAACCCACAGGATCATACTTCTTACATGACTGCTGTCCAAGTTTCCAGAACTGCTAACTACACAGATTTTTCACAAATGGCGTGATGATATTTAATGGCACTGATCTAACCATTCAAAAATACAGAATGATTTCAGAGTAGTATTTCATGCCTGCAACGCAATAAAAAGTTAGGATGCTTAAGACATTTCCAAACATTTGATATTCAAATCAATTCTCACAGCACTTTAAAGATTTATATTGTCTAAAAAATGCCGTTTTCCATTGCTTTGCAGATCTGCATGCTGTAACACTTCATTGATCTTTTCTTCATAAATGCTGCTATCACAGTGGTTTAAATGACCAATGTTACTTAAACAGGTCCAAACCTTAACACAGCGTGGTGGCTGGACTTTCATTAAGTATTTATTTCAATAAGAAAGTAAATAGCTCTTTTTTTCCTACTGGCCTTGAACATTTCAACTTTTATCTGTAAAATTGCAAGCAAGAGCTGGGTTACATACATTACCATTGTGTCGTCTCAGTGTTTACAAAATGTTAGAAGCTTTTCAAATTTGGAAATTGGACAACGATTTGATGTGAACATAGACTATTGGACATCACATTTTCAACACAAAACCACACGTCCAGAGACATTTAGACAGTCAAGACACGCACCACAAACAGTTCAAAAGAAAAACGCGAGGCTTTTCACAGGTCCCCATCCTGTCGTGTTGCACTGTCACCTTGCACTGCCATTCGTGTATAGTCAGCCGACAGACCACACAGGCCACATGTGCTTGTGCACATACGTATGCCTCACTCTTATTCACCACAGTCAAACAAAACAGTCTCTCACATTCGTGATAGCCCCCCAAACTCAGTGCTTCGAGCATAGATGGGGGCAAGGTGTCAGTAACACAACATTAACACATTTTTAGAAGTGTCTTAACATCAAGACCAACCCACTAATTTATAACAATTAGCATTTTGGAATTTTAGGGCATAGAGAATTAATTCCCACAACAGACTACATATAATACCATATGAGTGTTGGCGACATCTTTACAACATATCTTTACAGTCTTGAAATTGTCAGTCGCCCATTCATTTTTGATACAATACCTGAAAATGCGGTATGGGGTGGTGAGATCAAAACTGCGGCGATCCGAGTCTTTAACATTTCCTACATTCATTTCAATGGATGTGATACCCACTCCAAGTCGATAGTCCTGGAAAAAAGGCAAAGAGGATATCAACATTTGTAGTTCTAATTCAACCTTTATTATGGTGTTTTTTTGTGGTGTTTTTTTCTCATTTAAGTTTTTTATTACTTCAGTAATAATACTGTTGGCCATGAAGCAGATTTACTCTGTAAAGCAGTTAGTCATATCAAGAGAAAAAACACAAAGTATGAGGTTTGTGCACATAATTTTATCTTTGTGTGCTCTTACATCAATATTTTTGAAAAGGAAGACTTTATCTGAGGCAACAACAGTGTACAGTTTGGAGCGTAATCCCCTGAGCTCCAGATAGCCTTGATGGTCCGGGTTTAACAGTGAGCCAGAGGTTTTGATGCCAGGTCGAGGGCGCCCCCTGGTGCAGTCTTGAAGTGCCGTCACCCATTCCTTTTTCTCAGCTGCAACACATGAGCACGCAGGTAGGTCAATAAAATAAAATCAGATATATTATTTTGTTTGCGTGTTAGGGCCTGAACAAGTGATGAGTGACATACCTTCACTCTCAGCCCTGAAGATAAAAGTTCGGTTGTTCGTTACCACTTCTAGCTTCAGCTCCCCCACACTGGCCACACTAGTGATGAACGCCGTTGAGATGATCCCCTTAGAGTACACTTCCTGCCACACGCCAAACATCAAAATCTTGTCAACTAAGTAGATCTATATCTAACAATCAGTTTGTAGACTGTTAACGGGTGTATTTGTACCCTTACCTTATCATTGTCAAAGTATCTCAGATAGTCAGGATCTAGTTTAACCCATCGTCTCTGGTAATAAAGAGCTCTGTGTGAAGGAACACAAATGACACACATTCCAAAAATGGTAATTTCCTTCAACAAAACGCAAAATTAGAATTACTGCTCTGTGTTTTTGGCATAACGTTTCTTTTTTATTATTTATTATTGTTTTACTATTACTGCAAGCATAAAGAGATTTCAAGCTAAATTTTTTACAGGATTTCTTACAACCTCTGCACATTTGCAGCTGTTTAGACATGGTCCTAATGTGTCCTGAGGGATTATTTAATACACAAACAGCTCTAAGAACTAGTTTGAACACACTCAGGACTCCAGGTTCAATGAACAGGACACATTCAGAGGTGATGTGGGACCATTTCGTGCTCACTAATGATAGCTTCAACACTATTCATCTCATCTGTGCTCTGGGGTCCTTAATCTTGCTGACCCACATAGGCATATGAGCAGCAAAGAGTGCTTGGATTTCTATTTCTATTTCTGCATTGTCCAACAAGATGCAAACTCTTAAATAGCACTGTCCACTTGTCACTGAATCACCCAGGATGCATGTTAGAACCAGAGTGAAAAGCCCCATGTGTTCTGTCATACTGACCCCTGAGGTGGATTCTTGTCCAGCCAGCCCATCTTGATGATGGAGGAGAGCTCGGAGCTGTCTTCTTTAATAGGTGCAGCAAGTCTTCCAGAGTGTGGGAGGTAGAAACTGCCTTTTGGGTTGGTGAAGCCGTCATCATTCCAAATGGTGTTGCTATAAATACACAGAAACAAATATAAAAATCAAACGAATCATTGACAGGTTCGATAACTCTTGTCTTCTAAAATCATTTTTAGCATCTACGAAAAGGGTCAAAATAAAATGAAAAACTCAAATCAGACCGGTCGTGTGGAAAATACTCAGGTAAGATTGCAGACTCCTGATCAAAACCTCTGCGTACATTGTGTGAAATGAAATCTAATCAATTAGATAAGCAGGAATAAGCATGATTGTTGTAACTGTCTGCCCTCTCCACCTTCACTTACAATACTTCTTAACACTTAAAAGTTAGACAAGTTGCATTTTTTTCCTCACAGTTTTTTTGGATGCTGGGTGCTTTCATATAGAAGTAGGTAGAGAGGAAAGGGGTCATAGAGAGTTGTCGAGGGCTTTCTTGACTTACTCATCATCATCCAAAAATTCATCATCACTACACAGAGAACTGCAATGGTCTCTTTTACGGGGCACTTGCAGGGTCATATCCTGACGGAGGACACAAAGGTCAATCACAACACACAGGTGAAGAAAAAAGTTGCAAATCATCATGGGGTAAAAGCATGCAAATTGTTCTTTTTTTTACCCTGTCAGCCGTGTTTCCTTGTTGAGCACTAATGTAAGACAAGTCTGGCTCTTCGTAGTCATTGGAATTATCGCCAATGGAATTGAGGCCTGAAGTGTGGAGATTTAAAGTTTATGTTAGCCTGAGAAGGAGACATTTACGTACAGCCCATGATGTATCACCAAGTGAAAATCTGTTCTATTTACGCACACAAAAAAGGAAAAGGTTCTCAAAAGTAAAACAGAAGTTAATGGAGGAGATACATTAATTGAAAGTAAACAGTGACTGCTGCACCCTTTTCGGTATAAAAAACAATTTCAAAGTCCCATAATCAACTTTCATGACGTGTCCTCAAAAACACTTGGATGAAGACACTTGGCAGCACCATGCAGTGTTATCCAACGTTCTTTCTCTTTATGTTGTTACACAAAATATCTTTCTTTGAAATGTTAAAATACCTGATAGACTAGTAATCAGTCAGCTTAGTGAGTTATCTAGGTCAGGATTTGTATTAGCCCTAAGTTGTTTCTGTGAATAATACAGAGTGAGGAAACTGTGTCTCTTTGGCAGAACCAGTTTTTCAGGATGGGCATTGCCAATGTTGGCAAATGTTACATCATACAGCATCAATTAAGTTGTTAAACAATGTCAATTAAAGGTCCTTTCTTTTGGCCAAGAATTATATAATAATATGTTCATATGTGAATAAGAGCACATTTTTAAAGTGCTATTATCTTTTTTTCAATTCAGTTTTTGAAAAACTGTGGTATATTAATTAAATAATAAATTAATATATTAACCACTCACCTAAATAACTAATTAAAGGGGCTATCAGACTCTAACAACATCTTTGCACTTAGTATTTGTCCTATAATAACCAAACACGAATTGGACTGCTCATGAAGTTTCACTAGGAAATCCTGACTTTTCCCTCTGTAGAGTAAAGTTTAAAAAGAAAAATTGTTTCCACACTTAAGCTGTGGGAGAGCAGTTTTGAAACCAAGCCCATTTCAACCGTTTGGCTGGATTCATGCATTTGTCAGTAGAAAAGAAAAAAGTATTAAGTATAAGCCAACAGTAAAACAACAGTACAGTTCATCTCTCTTGTTTGTCACTTGTGAGCAGTTGTGTGCGTGTCTTTGTGTGCGTGTGTGTGAGAGAGAGAGTTAACATGTATATGTAGGAGCTAAATTAGTCCCCACCCACACTGAGTGGGGACAGAAAATGTGCACCAACAAAGTGTCCCTCACAAGACTTAACATATGCATAAATAAATAAAATATCCAAGTCTGCATCTAAGGTCATGTCCATGTATTGTACGACAAAAAATAAAGAAGATCATTGTGAGGGGAATGTTTTTATAATTAAGATATTCCATGTGACACCAAGAATAAATGATTGTATGACAGTCGTGAGAAGAGAAAGAAAACACACAGGGAGCAATAAAATGCAACTAAAATGTTGGGTACCCCTAAGCACAGGTTAAAAAAAAGTCTGTGGCATAAAAGTCACAAGCTGCTTTTCTGGCCAAGTCAAGTGCAGCTAAGTGGGAGGGTGGAAAGCTTGATCTCAAATTTAGCATAGATGGCTGATCTCATCGTTGCTGACGACTGACAGCGTACGAGATGCTTATTTTCTCTATGGACTCTGAGACAACAAAAAGACATTGTTTATAATTTATGTGGCAATTTTCTGATGTGCTTTCATTTTCAAAAGTAGATTAAAGCATCTGAGATAATCTTCAGTGATCATTTTCTGTATTCCTCCTCACAGCAAATGGACAATCACTACTGATATCTGAGATCACAAGATTATGTTATGATCGCTTTTCTTTTAGGATCTATTCACCTACGGTTGTAGGAAAAGTTTAAAAACACTAATAAATAAATTAATATTCTTCAATTGAATCGTCTTATACTTTAACTTTAGACAAGGGAGCTGGAAAGGATTGGCCTCTGCATAATTTTGATCTATAAGCAAGACACAGCATGTGAATCATAGAAAATACCGGTATAGCTGGAGATAATGCTGTAAGAATGGACACAATTCTAAACTTCTATATAAGACAGCAGGACGGGAAGGAGCGAGAAAGAAAGTAAATAAAACAAAAAAATCAGTACAAAGACATTTACCGAGGAAAAGGAGGACACAAGTAAGCCTAAAAGATTTTCGGGCATTCAGAAACCCCCTGTTAACCAGGTCTATATCCACAGAATTAAAGCAGAGATCTGACACATTAAATCACTTTCAGGAAGCAGGAACTGATGAACTCACCGAATGTCTAAAATACTTTCATAATATCTTGAACCTATAGTCTGTCTCCCCCCCTCTATGTTAAAAAATGTGTTTTCAGTGCCTGTTCCAAGTCTTTAATTCAGATTGATAGCATTAAAAAATTTACTCAGAAATTTCCCTTTCACTTTGAAGCCGCATCAGAAAGTAAAAACCGCATTCTGGTCATCAAACTCTACTCACGGGGAGGCTGGATGACCCTCCTTGCCGGCACAGCCGGCCGTGTCTCAGGTTGAGTGGACTGCTGGTTGGCCTCTTGTGTTTGGGGTGTCCTGGTGCGAGGTGGGATTTGTGGAGTCTGGTCTCTCTGCTCCTCATCTGTTCCTGTCTCTATGAGAGGAGGGCTGTGCGAGAAGAACCGGCAGAGGATAGAATTAGCTGAGCCTGGAGGATCCTCTAAAATTTCGGTAGTCTCAGGTGAAGAATATATTCCACGCAAAAGGCTGTTTCAACTCAAGATGAATGCAGACAAGATTGGATTCCAGAAAGTAATTCTACTAAAAAGTCCTGGTTGGCAGCTGAAATACTCACAATGCTTCCTAAGGTAGAACACAAAAAAAGAACAACAACAAAAGTGACTTGGACACTATTGAGTGTTGATCTAAAGCAGGAGTTATTCGGAAGAACAAGAACTGATCCCAGGAGCAAAGATGTGTCCTTCTGGTATCGTCCAGAGTCCAGACTATCTGGTTTCCCTCTTCTACTTGTAGTTCAACCAACAAGTCCAAACTTGCTCAAGCCACGACATATAACCTCAATGTGAATACAGCATACCCATAGAAACACATTAAAGCTGTGTGCATTCTAGATGTGAACATATACCGGTTTCACCACATGCCACATTTTCATTACTGTTGTCACCAAAGGACACCGTGTAAACATCACAGCTCGGAATTCTTAAGCTAAAGTTTCATCTCAGTCAAAGGTTTAGGTTATGAAAGTTGCTTTTACTGAAAGTAGCCCTAAATTTAGCCTCTTTCTTATTAGATGTTCCCATTTCTTTGCAAATATAACTTGGCTGATACAACTAAACAGTTAACATTAGCCTTCCTGTGAAATATAAATAACTAACTTCATATTAACAAATCACTTCCTAAAACAAGAAGCATATCAAGCTTTTACATTTGTTTGTCCAGTAACAAATGTAACAACAATACATTTAAAAAAGCCCCAAAAATGATACATTCATAAAAAGTAATCCCAGGATTCGGCCACCCAACAAACCCTGATGATCCAGTAAATACTAGTTCTGTCACATATCATGATACAGAAAGATGCTGTTTAAGAGCTGTGAGTGTAAAAGATACCCTTCAAAGAATCAGAACAGGAAAGTGCATTTTTTAACAAGCAGGAGCCATGGCTACTTTAGAAAGACACAGGTCTTTAATTAGTGCTAGTGCACATGTTTTATTCTACTGAACCTATTGAAAAGAAGTTGCATTCAAATAATTGTATTGTTTGTTATGGACTTAGCAAGCAAATGCAAGCCAAACTAATTGGATTTTTTGTTCCATTTGATCAGTAAAAAAAAGGTTTGTAGTAACACAATCTAGCTTTATCCAGAGTGTTAAAAATGGCAAGCTCAGTTGTGATGTTTGAAACTGTGTTTAAATTCTGAAACTCCAAAGAAGGAACTCAAAACGAAGCTCAAAACTCACGAGTGGACATGCATGTTAACATTTGGTTATGAGAACTAAAAGTAGACTGATAAGACAAATCTTTTAAATCTTCACATTTATATCTAAATGCATCCCAGTTCCAACACCTACGTTTTAAAGTTATATCCAAAAACAAACATACTTAGCTGGTATTTACACCAGAGTATTCAAATATGTGTAACATTTGGCATTATACGCTTTTGTACAAGATTCAGAGGAGAAATAAATACTCCTCAGTCCTTCCACATCACTAAGCATCTTTTGTGGAAATAATATGTTATATGCAGCATACCAAAGTCCCATCAGTCAATTTTCAAAATCCACCTAATCCAATTCAGGTTTGTGGAGGGGGTGAAGCCAATCCCAGGCAATATGTGGAGTACACCCTGGACAGATAAACAGTCCATCACAGAGCAGCTGTGCTGCAGAGAGAATATGACCTCTCATAATACACATTATACCTTGAAAAACGTGTTTTTAACTTAACTATTCTCCACGGTTGTTCTCACTCACATCCTGCCCTCATATGAAAATGTTTATGTTTATGCTTTTAGCAGATGCTTTTATCCAAAGCGACTTACAAAGTAGACACAATGTTACAGTTATCAGCAATCTGACAATAGGGTTTTTGGAGGAAAATCCCCAGTCAGAGTCAGTAGTGACGGCGAAGAGATAGAGGGAAGTACAAAAAGAGTAGTAGAGGGGTATAGAGGTATGGGTAAGAGTTAGGATAGGAGATGCTCTTATGACTCCTAATTAGTGTGAATGTACAAATACGTAATGTGGCTTTGAATGTTGCTAACGAAACAAACTTGTTGAATGTCATCTTCTCCCATTAGTGGTTTCTAATGAAGATAATTAAATGAGTATGTAAGTATTTTCAAAAACCAAGTTTCACATTGACATGAATATTAAACTTGTAAGTTCATAAACCGCATGTATAAACTGTATGGAAATAGAAATACAAAACACACATGCTGCTTTTTTAAACGCATTCGTCCCATAGTGTTCCTGTCCTATTCACATATCAGTTTAGTCACAGAAAATATCAAACCAAAAATTGGGTAACAAATTCATTCATGCAATGATTAACAGCTTATTGCCATCTTGTGTGAGCACGAGTCCAGTTTTTGGTCAATCCAGTATTGTGAAAGTTCCTTTTGTAAAATTCTTGTCATGCAATCCCTTTGAAATCTGGGAAGTTGTATCTCACCCTTCACAGGACAGATGTCAAAACGCAACATAAAAAGTCACAAGTTTAGCAGATCATGGAGGATCATACACATCACGATGGGTAAAAAAAACAAAACCTGTCAAATGCTGCTGTGCAGGCCAAAGCAGCACTTTATCCATCATTTCACACAACGTGTGAAAGAGAAAAATAAATGTGATCTGTCAGGGTGGCAACACTGTGCATTAAGCTGTGAAACTGAAAAGCACTGTTCTAAGAATTACAACCTAAAAAGGCATCCTATTCAGGCAGGGAGTTAAAAGGAACATGCAATGGTCTTTATCATGCCATCAAAACAGTTGAAGTAACCATTTTTAAATCTGTCTTTGTACTGTACTGTGTGCTGACCTGTTAAGTATTAAATAACAGAGCTGACAATGACGGGAAACTGCCCTGTTGACACAGTTCCCTCTTTTTTCTCAGCGGAAGAGTGCTGAGGGGGGTCACTAGCTGTGTGCTATTTTTACCTTTGTATCTAACTAATGATGGCTGTGAACTGAAGAAACAATGACTCTTCCTTTCTCCACCCAGTCTTTTGTGAATGTGATCTTACTGCCGAGAACTATTCCTCCTGCTAAAACACTCAGGACATGGTGTTTTTTTTTACCTGAGGCGTGGTCAGTTTGCTGCATGGCTTTGCATCCATTGACATGAAAGTATGCACCAAACCAGCAACTAATATATGACGGTGTATGAATATAATTCAGATCGTTGATCAAGAAAAATAATAACATAATAAACATTTACGAAACAGAAAGGTTAAACACACTTTCTTAGCATTTCAACATGGCAGCTAAATGCGGTAAAAATATTTATGTAAAATTCTCCCTAATTCTCCTTACTGTATGTTTTGTAATCACAGGTAACAAACTAGAGCCACTATCCTCACCATAAGCACATACATCCCTAGAAATTGACAGGATAACACCAGGTCCAACCAACAACAATGAAGGCAAGGGTTAGCCTAAACTCCCCTATTCTTCTTAAATAAAAGTCACCTGAACACAACAGAAGCATCATAAATAGCATCCAATATTCTGCTGACAGGAGCTGCGGCAGCCAAGCACCAAACAGCACAACAAAGCAGGGGGAGACGATTTTGTTGTGCAAAAAGTACAAGAACCCAGCAATGAGATGAAGGTCAGACGAGATCAGGAAGTGCATCGCTAACGGAACACACAAGGAAGAAGGAGCCAGAAATACGATTTATGTGAATGTTACCTTTCAAAGCCTGTTCATAATCACTCCTCTTCCATCATGATAACAGCTCAAACACACACAGAAAGTCAAACACACATCAAAAAGCAGGAGGAAATGACTCGCCGGACCGTCGATGGGAAGAGGCGACTTGGCTCGCTGACAAGGAAGCACAACAGTAACAACACAGCAAGTGAACGTATTCTGACACGAGCTGAAAAAAGTCCCAGCGTAGTTCCCACATCTTTTTAGTTGTGAAATTCTATCATTCTGATTGGGTGGCTCCTAAGAAGGAGAGCTTTTACCCGCTTTATATTTGTCTCCACTGTGACTTCCTCAGTCCTTCTACAGCTGGTTTCCCTTTAGAAAACAAACAAGGAACATGTCTGCTTCTCATAATAGAAGCACTCTACAACCCGGTTAAAGTTTCCCTTACTGTTGACAAAACAGAAAACATCCACAAAGAAAGGAGAGCTTCTGAGCAACTGTTGGGGCTAGAGGTATTTTCACAAGCCATCACCATCAAACTTAGCTGAACGATGATTGTTTGTGGTTGAGGAGAAATATGAGTTGACTCGGTGGCTTTTTATAGAACCACAACTTTACAAAAAGCCTCAATGTGCACACATGAAATTCTGAAAAAGGAAAAGACAGGACATGAAATATTTGAAATCCAATAGTGAAGATCACATCACCACTGAACACTGAACACAAGTAATCCACGACAGAATAAGAACACTGCCTCGCTTTAAAGTATAATTTCACCAGATTTTTTTAACTTACTCCTGTGCTGTTGGTCACCTCGCCAAGTTGGAGTGTTCCGTCCCACACTTTTGGGAAGGGTCTACATTTACATTCAGAAAGGCTTAAAAATTGTAAATGTCTCAACTCAAATCAGAAATTACGGCAGTTGTCATTTTATAATACCTGCAGTAGATGGCAGTGCAGACTAAAAACTACTCCAGGGATCACCTCTTAATTAAATCTTCAATATAAAAAAAAACTAATCTAAAGCTAATTAAAAATCTAATCTAAATCTAAAATTTTCCAAGCAAAGTCAAAGGAACAGCCTGATGTATAGGGCTCCTTCGTATTATGCTAAAAGAGGATACTATAACTTGACAAGGAGAAACATCCAGTTTTATGATGTTATGACAATAAATAACACAATAATAGCACACAAAAAACAAAGATGTACCTGAAATACAGTCTGTCTTCAAGAAACTCTTGAAGACCCACCTCTTCAAAGAGCATCTCCTATCCTAATCTTAACCCGTACCTCTACCCCCCCCCCCACAACTCTTTCTGTAGTCCCCTCTACCTCTATCTCTTGCTGTCACCACTGACTCTGATCAGCGTTTCTCCTTTGTATAGCTTATTGTCATAGTGATGATAAATTTAATATTTTGGCTACTCTGTAATTCGCTTTGGATAAAAGCTTCTGCCAATTGCATAAACATAAACAAACATAAACACAAGTACTGGCAATGCATTTCTTTTAAAAACAGGAGGGTTGTAGAAGTAAGAACAATAGAGAAAGGTACAATAATAGGAACGGCCATTTTAGGTAGCCTCACCTGTGGGTTCTTGGAGAGGGAGCGGGACACCGCAGTGGGACTGGAGGTGGGACTGGTGGTGGGCCTTTACATCCCACTCCCGCTTTTGGAGGAAGAAGAGGCGGGATATTCTTGTCCCCGATGGGAGAGGTGGAGGGGGACACGGATGAAGCTTTTCTGCGTCCGTTCCGGCTCACGCGCTGCGTGGGTTTTTGAATGGTTAATGTCTGGGGCCTAGTTTGGGTTTGGGCTGGCTGAGCGTCGGGGATGTTAGGGGGGGGTTCGGTGGGAGTGGGCGAGATGCTGGGGGTGGAACTTGGCGACACAGGCCTGCACCGCGCCGATGGGGGCATGAGAGTGGGCCTGGCGGGTTTCGGGGAGCCGGAGGTTTGGGGAGCTGGCGCGGGGCTCGGGGGAGAGGTGAAGCGCTGTGGAGGGCAGTTGAGGGTGCTTCGAGGGGGGACGGGCGGCAAAGAGTTTTCTGAGGAAGGGGACACCATGGAGCCTGGCTGGCAGTCAGCTGGAGCGCTAGAACGAAACTTAGTCCTTTCTTTTGGTACAGGCTTCCCCCCCTCACCCATTCCTCCAGTCCTCTCTTCCTCTTTTCCTCCTTCAGGTGTTTGCTCCTGAGCGACTTTTATCTCCCCTCCTTCACTGCTATTCTCCTGCATTTGAAACACTTGTCTCCCTTTGGGGACTGGTTTTCCTCTTTCACCCGGGACTGGTCTCCTCGTCTCTCCATCACTTTTCTCCGCTTTCCTTTCCAGTGCGACAGGCTCCGGTCTCTCTCCTCGGACGTCTTGAGCTGTAGCGGTCTGCTCCGATCCGTCCGACTGGTGAGAGAGCGATTCGGTGCCCTGAGCTTTGTTCAGGCTTGCAAGGATGCGTCTCTGGTGACCCGGCAGGGTGATCCCCATGCGCTCCAGCTGATCTGGTGTCAGGTCCCGACACTCTCGTAGCGTTGCCAAGCCAGCACTCTGAAATACTTCCGAATACTGCTCCAGACGGAGGACGCACAACCAGTCCCGCACCTTGGCACTGGACTCACACTGAGACATGGCGGATCCGTGTGTGTTGGCAGAGTGCGTGAGAGTCAGCATCCCATGAATCCTCTTCCACAGGGAGAACGGCAGATCATGACGCAGGTAACCTGTGGACATGACAAAAGCATGAAAATGTCAGCTGTAACGACAACAAAAAAAGCATCAACTTTTCAGAATATTACAGCGAAATTAAGAAAACTTTTAGTAAAAAATGTTTTCGAAAATTCTGACAGGTTAGAGGGATTATTTAACAGAACCAAAACTATAAATTTAAGCAGGAGTCACTTTAAAGGGTTTAAGCAACTCATGACTGTGTTGCTAAACAGGCATGTTGGAAATCTTTCAATTTGGTAAGATAGGAAGTGGTGTCAAAGCCTCGACAAAGAGTCAGTTTTTATACCACTTCTATAAACTTTAGACAGTGAGGTCTGTGTTCCTCACCCAGAATTAGTTACACATTGAAATTTCTTACCTGTTTTGAAAATCAATGAAAACAAAGTACCCTTATAGTTTATTATCGATCGCAAACTCAAACGGAGCACTGCTTTTGACAGGCAACACACAGCATTGCGGACCAATCACAATGGACCACTAAAAGAGGAAGTCTAAATGATGCATTTGCTGCCATACAAGTAACGTTCACATACACACACACACAAATTTCTTTTTACACCTCTCTCTCTCTCTAACCAACACTTGAATGCACCATAAGCAGATTCTTCCCACAGGCTCTTGCTATGCCTTCCCTTTAGCATTCTTGTAGCACACCCTTCACTCTTCACACTTCAATTGAGTTGGGACTTTTCCTGCACCAAGCCATGGCATATTAATGATGGACACCATGACACAGCTCAAAGTGGCGACCGGTCAGAAGAACAGGCCTTCATCAGTAAACCGGCAGTTCCCAGTGTAAAGATTAAGGAAACCCTGCAACTCTTTGCAATTATTTGGCCAAATTGACTAAATATATAGTTTTCACTAAATATTTAACTATGGATTATACAGCTGAAAACCATTTCCTGTCACGTCAGTATTTGAACATTTACTGAACGACTCTTATCGCCTACATTTCACCACAGAGGAAACAGCTGGTTTCTATAGCCACAAACATGGTTTCTCCTCAGCAGATATCTTCAGTGAGAATTAAAAATACCTGTATTTGCTTTTCCCCTCATATTAAAATCAATGCAAAGTCTAAAACGAACTACACCACAGAACATATTCAAACCACAGTCATTAAAGAATGTGCACGCTGCACATTGTAAGACATGTTATCTGCTGAAACCATTAAGTTTTGGAAAGTTTAAACAGTGAATTGAAAGGTTGAATGTATACAGTAAAGCTGAACGTTTGTGAAGAAAATCTGAAGTGTTCAGCTTTACTTCCACTGGCTTCGTTTGTCACTCGGCTGCCAAGAGGCCATAACAGAAGGTCATAACAGAATCTGTTGTACCAAACATTAGCCCCCAGACACCTGACTTGGTGACTGGAGGTGAAGGCAGCTGAGCTTGAGTGAATACACAGCAACCACAACGATCCAGTCTGTGAAATACCAGGTTCCAGAGTGTGAGTGTGTGGAAATGAGTGCATTTCATTTCCTGTCATACGTTTCCTCTAATAAGATAGAAACTACAGGCCAAAATGACACTGTCAACTTTGTGCTCCTTTCTCTGATCAAACGCAGTTCCTATTTTCATTTCAGGAACTCAGAGATGGAACATGCAGTGAATTACAGTCTGCCCACGCACAAGTCATCTCTGGTGTGGTATTTGTGTCCTAATCGCTCACGCAAAGTCTACAATTCACCTTTCACACCAACATGTGGAAAATAAACTAGTTTGATGCATCTTTGATCGACACTGACCACAATTTCTGCTGCAGCGAAGCCCTAATTAAATAAAAATACTGAGGAAGTTTCATGTGGTATTTATAGCTACCAACTAATCTGTCATGTAAATGAATAATCCTTAAATTACACATGCCAGAAATAAAAGCCATCACACAGCAAAGTTGAAGACCAAATATTCAATATTTTATGTTCGTGTGCTGAGCAACTTAAACAAACATGAAATTTGATCCAATTGTCAATGCTGCATTTTGCAAACTGCTAACTTTATTTCCCTGTGCGGTAGTCTATTTTTTAGTCCATTTTACTTTCCTGCATCTCTTCACACCCTCCCACCTCTGTCCAGCTTTCTCTGTGCTCCCCCCCTCCCACTCCGAAAGCTGCCTATAACAGGGTCTCTGTGCTGCCCTCACAATGGTGCATTCTGTCGCCCGGGCAAGAGGACGAGACTAACAAGAAGGAAGGAGAAGAGGGAGGGGGGGGGGGGGGGGGGGGGGGGGGGTGCTCGCTGTTTGAGTCCGCTTACACACTCAAAGAGGTGCTAACCGAGTGACACTTTGCATGAAAGTTGTTAGTGAGGAGGTGCCTCAGAGACCAGTTTAATTTAACAGACACACACATTCAGAGAAACTTTGCAGGTTCCGTTGTCTTTCTGTTTGTTTCTTTGAAACTGTTTTCAGGAGCACTTTCGTAGAAGCTCTTTAGGTAGCACTTGGAAGGTGTAAAAGGATGTCCAGAAAAAATTGACCCCCATTAACATGGTTTTAATGTGACCTCAGCATCAGCTGGGCACATTACGGAGCTTCTGAACATGTGACCACGTTAAACCTTTGAACAGAACCTGTGACGTTAATTATCTTGGACTTTTTTTTTTTCTTTTCCTCCAAACGCAGCTCTGACACACAGACCACAATGGTGACATCGACTCAGATGATCCACCACCCTCCCCAATGACAGACAATCATAACAGTAATTGCAGTAAGCCCCACTGTGACAGGAAGACAGTTTACACTTCGGATTGCACAAGTAATCAATAAATCTATAAAAAAATTGGTTTCCTTATGCACACAGTGCATATTGAAACACGGTGGTGTAATATTTTGCTGATACCACTTGGATGTGTGATTTTTAGCATTCAGCAAATAAGACACAATAAGATATAACACAAATAAAATATTGGACCAAAGACAGGAACGGACCTCCTAAAGGTGGAGGACATTTTTGGAGCTCACCCTCTTGGTTGTTGTCCCACACTTCTTCTACATATGTCTGCGCTACCATTGCTCAAATAAGTTGGTGGGTTGTTTTTTTTCTGAGTGAGCTTCTCCATTTGCAATCATCTCATCTCAACACATCCATTTTTTGAAAAGAAAGCACAGAGGTGAGAAAAGCTGAAATCTCAAAAACAACTAGGCATTCCTCAGCACTAACTTTTATGTAACATCCTCAGGCATGTTTAAAACAAATTCGCTGGCAACTATTAATGATTTAAAATAATTTGCTTTTACGAGAAAACTGCACCGTCACAATTCTGCTCCATAGTGCCAAAGTTAAAGGAAGCATTCGAGGATCGCGTAGCGTTGTGCCATAGACGAAATAGAAACAAACCAAGAATGTGAAGAATTCCTATACGCCGTGTAAGAAAATACCATCATAATCTAAAAACAGACACCCCTTATTCTTAGATTTATTAAATCAACCTCCGATGGGGCTTTAGAATGAACGCTTACACCATGCAGCAGCGTTTATTCAGCCTACACCGGTGTGGAGGTTACACACAGAAAAGAGCAGGGTTACTTGTGTTTACATTTACCATTTAGTGGCAGTGTATTTTAGCAACTACAAAAACACAATTTCCAATAATCTAGAAGTAGACCATTTATACACTCTTCAAGAGTATAAGCCTGACATTCTTCATCGAGCTCAACAGCTACGTCAAACCAATGCGGGAGCACGGCTGCTTCATCTGCCTCCACTTTGAATGCCAAACCAGCCACTTAACTCAGATTTTTTAATCAAAATGTTGTCTCTTTATAAGGACAGATAAATAACTTAGGGATGGACACACACACACCCACATAAAGGACATGACTCATACACCCACTACTCCACACACTGTTGCTTTCAGCTTACTTTCAATTAGAACTGAATAGTGACTCAGTTCCGCCAGTACAGCAACAAATCCGAACAATGTCCTCTACTGAGAAATCTTTTCAGGGAAAAAGGGTCATAATCAATAGTAAGAACAACAAACATCAACCCGGACACAAACTATGTTTTTTTTAAATCACCTCTATGAAAAGTAAAAGTGTGAGAATTTGTCCCAGCATTGAAAACTTACTTCTCATAAGGCCCATTATCTTATCAACTAGGGAATTTCTTTCCCGTGTGAAAATATACAACCTTGAAGCAAAATTTACAACCTTGGCTAACTACAACATTTTTATTCACAGGTGTTGATTATCACATTTTTTACTGCTGACCTGGTCGTTCCCTGGAGTAATCTTGCCATTGTAGGCCTAAATATGCCCCTGGAACCGCATTTTTTCTCCTCTTACCTCACCATGGAGTGAATCAGAGGCAAGAAACCATGTGCACGCATGAGACAGAGAAAAAGTCACAGAAAGAACGTAAAAGAGGCAGGAAAGTGCTGAAAATAAAGAGGGAGAAAAAGCCTATGACCAATAAATCATTTTGAATAAATCATCCTTCCGAGCTACCAGCCATCTGCATCAAGCCTGGGGATAATATCTATTTCAGCATATCATGCTTCTGACTGACAGTAAAATCAGAAGGCAACGCATCATACTTAGTGTGCGTGTGAACGCACCAGGAAGACAGAGCCTTCCTTGTCAGGTAGTTTACAAGATGACAAAACAATGTAAAAAAAAAGGTTGATATTCTGCTCGGGGGCAATTCTAGCAGAAAAAAATCAAATCAATCGGTTACAGAGTCATGTTTGAATGTTTAACCGATGAATTAGTGACATTTATAAAGGGCTCATGATCCACCGTGAAGCTCCATCGTCCAGTCTCCTATTAGCTGTGCTGGGACCCAGTCAGCAGAAAATCTGTTCAACTGCAAAAATAACCCAATTTCTTTTCAAACGTCTACACAGCAGCTACATTTTGCATGTTTATTCTGCTGGTTAGAACTTATCCGGAGTGTATACCTGCAATGCAAAACTCACCCAATTAAAAACAGTTAGTCTTTCTGTCATACAGCAATAAAGTATAAGTATATTTAAAAGTTTTTCATGCAAAAAAATAAAATAAAAACCTATGTCAGCTTATGTGCTTCCAGATGAGACTATTTCACTTCATTTTCGAACGCCTTTAACACAATGTCTGTACAAAGTGTTTCCTTGTACTTCAAAAAAAGCAGAAATAAGGCGATGGAAAAAGGTTTCAGCTGCATAATCATTGGGTTTGAGTGGTTTTGCAGTGTTCCTGATACATGTTGTGAGAGAAGCTCTAAAAAGAAAGTCCACGTCAATAAATCCACCTGCTTGTGAGCAGGTCAGAAAGCATCAGTGGCAAACATAAACAGCTAATCTCCCCATCTCTACGGGTACTTCATCTTTTGATAGGCTTGTCAAAACAAGCACGCCACCAGATTAGAACTAGTTCATTCCTCTGGGGATAAACTGCAGGGTCACTGGCTGTCCGCTTTTTTGCCAAAGAGAGAGCAGAGCTGCTTTCTGGAGTCCAGAGGCAACGGCCAACAACATTCAACAAGTTCTCCTTCACGCGAACGGAGTCTTATCCGATAGTCTCCATAAGAGATAAACGTAGAAGTGGACTCGACCGCTAAACTTTCTTCTTGAAAATGTTTTTTTTATTTTTTTAACTCAAACTAACGGTCAGTGGCTGAATGTTACCCAGACAACAAATCCCGAGCTGGAAACAACCCGCCGCTGCCTCCGCTCATTTTTAAGCTGCTCGCATCAGCTGGTTGCGAAAAGTTCCCCGACAAGGAGGGAAAAAAGTTAGAAACTCTTCTCATTCACCTACCTTCTCAAGTTTAAATAAGTGTCCGACTCGCTGAAAAGCTCTCACGACTCATCCGCGACGTGAACCCGGCAAACATGTGACAGTAGCATCAAGGAGCGTGAATCATTTTTCTCACGAATGAAATGCTGCGCGAGCCCAGACTCACGCTATCCGCCGTCAACACAGAAGCCCAATAACCGGAAGTGAGCCCACACTAGGGCAAGACTTTCAAAATAAACGAAGACGTTCTCGTCCAGATCTGGCGTGTTTTATTTTCAATATCCGTATGTTTACTTTTCTTTATATTCCTTGCTAAATATTTTGAACTTGATGCAGAAAAATAAAAATCCAAAACTTCCGTTAAGCCTATCATGTGACCACCGAGAAAGACTGGTCAGCCCAGTTAGTTTTCATGCTTCTGCTATTTAGCGAGACGAAGCGAGTGACTAATGAGAAGTGGTCTGTGCTGATTAAGAATACGTGTTAGACGAATAAAATAATACTGTATAGACATAATGTCATTGAAACAGCAAAAATAACTTATTACCAAACCCTAGAAATGACAGCGTGATTGTTAAAAGACGATTGGATTTGTTCTTATATATGATGTTATATTCTATTTCGGTCCAACAGACTTAAGTGTCATTTGAGGAGTTTTCATAAGTTTATACTAAAAACTGAGAAGCAAGTTTTTTTTTCCTGGTCTGTTTTTTTTTTAATCCAATGCATCACAAGGGCAATAAAACTAATAAATTGCCATTGGTATTCAATTAATGAGCCCATTTCCAAATAGACTAAAAATACCCTGACGAATCAACCGTTAAACATTATTTGTTTGCTTGTTGTGAAGCAGACAAGACACACAGAGTTAGTTTTTCCAATAACTGGACACCGGCAATAATGAACAGGAATGTATTTTAATTACTTACATAGATATATTTGAACAAAAATGTATGCAGACAATCATTCTATTGCCAGCAATGATTCTATTGGATATTGTAGTTATCTACTGGAACCAGAAGAGGGCGTCCACTTGCCATTGAAATACTAGGTATGTCAAAGTGTTACAAAAGGTATCAAGTTGTTTTTAATGCTACACCGAAACAATATTTCCAAAAGAAAGAGAATTCTGCATCTGAAATAAATAAACCCATCTTAATGAAGCATATTCCTTTTAGGTTGTTTCAGTAAACGAGTCAGCAAGATGAAAATAGTTTATTAAAAAGGCGATCAGAAAGCAGAAAAAAGGGGGGAGGGGTTGTAAGTAAATCAGAAACAATAAGTCCTAACCTCTCAGTCATTCTGTATATTAAGAAATGACAATTTCTGGAGTAGCCAAGCAATCTGAGCATATCACACTTGTATGTAGGCAAATGAAAAAATGCTCCATTTCCTAATCTCAAACGTGTTGTTGATGGAATTTTTTATATTTTCTATGGCCTCTGTATATATGTGTCAGTTATGTGAATCAGCTTTCTATATAGCCCGGTCAGGAACTCTGTCATCTGGAAGACTTGCGAGTAGGGGGGTAACATTTTAGCCTTCAGGGTAAATGAAGAAGGCTCTTCCACCATGACGAGACAGTGGCTCAGCAGAGCGTTTCTCCTTTCACTTCAGACCTGGAAGAAAAGGTACAGACAGGTTGCTGCCGCAGAAGCTGAAGCTTTAGGAGCCGGAAGAAGGGGAAACACGGTTTTAAAATGTGAGAAGCAGCAAGTAGGGAAAAATGCTCAACTATTTAAGGTGAATGAAAGGTAGGTAAAAAATAGACAGGCAAACTAGCAATAGATACACGAATTATAGTATGGAGGAGACTAACTGGACCAAATGGGGATGTATAAAGGAAACTAATGGCTGAGATTGAGGAGAGGGAAAATAGGCAGTCAAACAGAAGAAACAAAGAGGGAGTATGATGCTGTGCAGGAGAATATTGAAACAGATGGGGCCTTTGAATAAGGAGACAATGAAGAGACTGGAAGATGAGGAGCAGGAGACACAGGGCAGAGGAGACTTGAGAACCGGGCAAAGGGGAAAAACAAGAGGTGGAAATAGAAGGAATGAGAGGCGATAAAGAAGAGGGGGGTGGTGATGAGTCATCACCAGGCTATCAGCCCCGGTGGGCTGGGTTGCTGTGGGGGAGGCAGTGTGACACATGCAGTCTCACAGACACACACACATATTCAGAGAGCGTAACAAGCCGTCATGCTGCCTATACGTCTCCGCCTGCTGCGGAGGCGGGTGGAAGACAATACAGGGAAGCCACCGGGATACAGTGTTTTTAGTCATGCCCATGCAGCCCTACCCTTCTGACACACGCATACAAAAAAACAGTTAAATGATGATGATGATGGCAGGGCAAAAGGCCCTATTAAACCACTGAGGATAGATGTTATATATAAGGACAGACAAATTAACAGTGCAAAACAGTAGTTGTAAAGAGAGAATTGGTCAGAAGAGAAGTGGTACATACTGTATATACTTTGCTTCATTATTCATACTTTATAAGGCGGCGCCTATGCAGAGGCTGATGTTGTAAAATGGGAACCGACAGAGGGGAAGATATGCAAAAAACATGGGCATGACAGTGCGCATACAGATCTGTACTGTGTTCCCCTTACAGATGCTCCCTGACTGGCTTCATAACAGTTTTTTACTAGTCATAAACAACCAGTATGCTGAATAGTGCTGTTAGCTATACTGCAAAGCCATGCCACGGTTCCTTTTCATTGTGTTTTGTCATTTAATCAGCCCATCACAAGGATCACAAACAGTAAGGCATGTTAGACCCAGAAACCTGGGGAATACACGCGACACCCCGCATCAAGTAACTTCTGCAAGCTATCATTGGTTTGTTCTTTTGGTGCCAAGTCCCAGGGTTGCCATGCCAACAGATTGGGGAATTCCTAATACCGATCTAGGCCACTGCGCACACATATGCTGCAAGTGCATGGATGCATGCAGTCAAGTGAAGACACACGTGCATCTTCTTCCTGGTGAGGGAAAAACCATCTGGGCAGCAGCACGTCCCGGTATGTTCCTACCTAAACCACAGCTTTAGAGTTTTACAAAACACCTTCAATATAAACACAGCCATGCAATACTGCAAGCACCAAACCAAATACAGGCAATCAAAGACAAACATGGAGAAATAAAGACTCAGATCACCGGTGAAATTTGAAAACCTTTTTAGGAATCTGTATTTAATCTTTAAAGTCTACATACATTCATACATCTCTCAAACAGAGAAGCAGACAGTACGTATGTGAGAATCTGCAGGTGTGCGTGTTTACGTGTGTGCGTTTGGGAGAGAAAAGGATGAAGGATGTTGGGTTGAGGGTTCCAGCTGCCTTCTGCACATCTGCATTTTTATTATGTGCTCACAAAATGGGATGGAGATGTACAACGAGGGACATGAGACAACTCAACAACTCAGGCAGACGGAGGTTGTGGTATATTGTGTCTATAATAAACCACTAAGGGCCGCACTGAGAGGTCAGTCAAGAGGCTGAAAAAGAAATGAGGATTTCTTTTAAACTTCCACTGGTCATTTCAATTGACAACAGCAATGTCCATTGTCAGACTAATTGGAAAATACCCAATGTTAAACTCTAAAATATACCTGAAACTATATTTTGCTACATTAAACTGCATGGGTACCCAATCAGAAAATATTGACATCCCTCAGAATAAAAAAAAAAAAGTAAAACAAATATCTGATCAAACAAATATCAGTTTATTGACTTGCACGTGAAAGTGGAGTCCTTTGCTAGCATGAAGGGCTTTTGTGAATATTTGCTGCACATGTATGTATTCATACAATACTTCTATAAAATGTGACCAAACATGTCCCCAATTGTGCACTTGCATTTGCATTTCATGTACAGTGTAGGTGAAATTATTTATGCATATACACACACACACGTACAAACAGAATCACATATACATACGTGTAATTATGGATGTTTATCAGGCATTTATGAATCCCTGCATTGCTGTTTGTATGAACACATGACATGTGCATGTGTTTGTGTTAGTCGCTGTCTTCCCTCTCATTGGTCTCAGCCAGTGAGCTCTCATCAATATTCTCCAGGCTCTCTGCCCGCTGGAGGCTCAGCTCTGAGAGTGGGATGCTGGGTAACGCAGTCTGTTCTGGGTAGAGCCAGGGCTTGAAGCCGGGGTTATGTCTCTGCTTCCAGTCCGAGTACTTCAAACAGGCCTTGTTGATCTTCTTCATCGCCTAGGGTACATGAGGCAAACCACAAAAGGACGATGACGGATATGGTTGATGTTCCAGGGGTAAGTGTTCATAATCAGCAAATTCAGCAAACAAGATAAACTATGGGAGTTTACAAGAAAACTTTGTCTATATATTTTCTTCAGATAAGGTGACTCCACCGACCTCCGATGAAAAATACAGATAGTGAGGACCAAAATAGCTTTGCAGAGGATGATTGAGCGACAAGCTAAAGGGAGGCAGTGGGAATGGCGTGATGAAACGTGGGTAGAGATGCCAGATCACTGATTAAAACCGCAAGAGGAGAGAAATTCTACTCTTTTTTTAGATATCTGTGCCAAATAATAAGACGCTCTTCCAAACACCTTCGAGAGGCTACATGTATGCGTTCATAATCTGAAAAACCCGTATGTGTGGCCCCTCACCAGCTGAACGGGCTGTGAGACTGAGTGTGCGGAACACTGGGATTTTCTGGTCTCACATGTAAAGACTGAATAATACATACCAGCTCTACTCAGCTACGTTAGCTAGTTTTAGTCCTAGGTGTGTGGCCTATAAAAAGGAATGTGAATTCTCTAGCCTGCTTATTTTCTGTACATATTACACCTCTTACTGACACAGTCATCGAGGGATGCTGGGTGCTCTCTTGGGAGTCTTGACCCCATTTAAAAAAAAACAACAACACGTGCTATCAAAAAGACAAACAATTACAGTAAACATGATGCATCTATGAGTGTGATAGTGTGCACTAGTCACATGCCCTCGGCTCTGTGTGCGCACATTACCTTAAGGCACAGCTCCACTGGATTAATATATGGACAAATACACAACACAGGATCCATTTTAATATGTGCACGACTTACGCGAGGAGCCAGGAAGTGGGAGGACTTGTTGACAACCCACTTGGGTAATGAACCTGTAAAGAGAGACGGAGTGAATGGAGTAAAACGGATAAAAGCATGAGAGTGGCAGAGAATCAAAGTGAAGGTGGAAGGCGAGAGCAGGAAAGGTGTAATAGAGGGATTTTAAGTCTGCATTTTTACATGTCACTTCCACAGCCTCAAAGAGGGGCTTGGTAACTTACCACTCACTACATCCAAACACACATGCAAACACATTACGAGCAGGTAATTACAGAGATTTACACAATTAGCAGTTGAATGCTGGAGCAATAGAGAAGAGGCGAATTAAAAGGGAGAAAAACTAGAGGCAGAAAATGGGAATAGGGAATAAAGGCCAGAGAGAGACAAGGCTACATTAAGAGGTGACACTGTGAAATAGAACATCTTTCATATGGTTACTATGGCAACTCATTTTGACATAAAGGCTGAGGAATGAATAATTTATGGAACATAGAGCATGTGTTAAGCACCTGCATGAGTGGATCTGCGTATTTCTGTCCTTTTTATCTGAGTCCATGCCCCCTTTGAGCTTCTGAGCTGATGTGCCTCTGTGGACATGCGTGTGTGTGTCTGTGTGTTATTTACCTCGTGGATCGACCTGGGCCATGTAAGTGAGGGTACAGTGGTTAGGTCCCTGGCTCTGGATCATGTAGCCAGTCTGAATGGAAACAGCTCGTACCATGTCCTTCTTCGGAGGATATTTCTATGGTGACAAAACAAATTCCCAAAAGTATGAATTAGCAAGATAAATAACATCCTGCTGGAGTTACTTTAGTTATCACTATTTTACATAGATATGCACGAGTCAAATTATACAAAGACATAAAATGGTCTAAATATCTGCACTGTAGATGACGGTGCTAACACATGTGATAGTGCTCTTCTGTTCTGTATTATTTCTATTTTGTATGTTTTTAATATAAATCCTGTCTATGATTTATGTAACGTAGCATCAATTGCCACACACAATGAAGGCAAAGCTTTCCACTGTGAGCTCCTGTGGCTGTGTATTTGTCATGGAACTGCCGTATAGTACTGGTTGGCCTGCATTAATTGGGACAGACTCACTGCAGAGCACTAAAGCAGCACAGAGCAGCAGTAAGCTCAGAACCCTTATCAGAGGAGAACTTCACAGAGCCGCTTTATCTTTTGCAAGCTATTGCACTCAAGTTGTAAGCAAATGGGTTTCTCTACTACAAGTTTACATTGTAGGTATTTCTGCTGACAGGACCATGGTAGTTTTCACGAATCATCTGCAAGTTTCTGGGAAATCTCATTCAGCTTTATCACATTCTGTGCTAATGGATTCCTTAAAAGGTTACTAGAGGAAAAGGAAAAGGATCGCACAATAAACCCGCCAGGAAAATCTATCTTAAGACTGAATGATATCATTTTTTTAGTTTTCCTATGGCTGAAACCAAGATATAGATTCAGAAATCTGTATTCAAACGCTCACACATTTAGCTCAAATTTAGCTGAACTTTTAGATTAGGTAATCGTCAAAACCTTTAATTTATCTTTAATCCAATGATATATATATAGGGATGCACAAAAAGTATCTGCTGACACATTCCAGTCTGGACCAAATTGATTCTGCTTGCCATGGAGCCATGCTGAAAAAACATTCAATGGATTAAGTAATATGCAAGGATCTGGACAGAGGCTTCAGGTGAATTTCTTAATGCTGAACCCAGCAACACAAGCATTCATATTCTACGGATTAGCAATGTTCGCCTTTCTTAATCACACACACGAAATGCAAACATGAATACAAACAGTCTTTTATATTTGTAATCGCTAATTGATGCAGGAATGCGGAAGCCGAGGCGGAAGTCAATAGCTAACAGTCACATGAGGCCTTATCCTTCTGCAAACACGACACACGTGAGCAACACAGAGAGAACCAGGAGAATGAGATACGGACAGAGGCCAGTTATAGTAAAAAAGAAAAAGTAAAAAAGACTGAAGGTTGACCTTATGAACCATCCAGAGTACAAAATTGAGAGCCAATTTTTTCCCTTTGTTCTTTGTTTTTCTTTGATAAAAGAAAGACAGAAGAAAACCAAATCACAGAAAATTGCAAGAAGTTTGGAAACGGATTGGAAAAATTGACATCTATTTTTAATGGTGGCGGAAGTTGACAACTTTTTTTCTCAAATGAGAGAAAAGTGAGAGTAAATCTGGTACAGGTTCTGCGGCAGTTCGTCTGAATCTAACATGCCTGAGTGAAAACAGCCAGTGAGAGGTGATCACTGCCACTTCAACAGTTGCCGTGGTTACTACCCTGCACATACATCACAGCCTCCTCTGCAGGGATGGGCAAACCACAGCAGAGAGGGAGGGACCTGCTGAATCGACAGAGTATACACCACCAGCTTTTTTCCTTCTGTACACGTCCCCTGAGGAAAAACAGTTATGGTGGTTGCTTGTGATAGTTGTTGGCTTGCGGTATTCATTGCAAGTGAATATGGTCTAAATTTAAAGTTGGCGGTCTCTTCATGGATCTTGGTTAAATGCCAAAGAATTTGGAATCAGACTGTTATTTCCATATTTACATGTAAAACATTTTTTATTCTGGGAAAAATTGACAGAAGAATTATAAAAAAAAAGAGTCACCTATCATGAATGTTTTTGGATGTTTGGAAGTAGCTTGAGAAAACCTACAGATGCATCCAAACTCCACAAAGAAATCCAAAATATACCAAACTGAATTTAAGTCAAGAATTGAACAAACTTTTGTAAAAAAAACAGAGTTTTTACTGTGTATCTATTCTGAATCTCTTAGGACTGAGAAGCACACAACAGCTATTCACTTTTTTAGACTTGTTTTCCAGCCAGTCAAACAGTCTGTGTCCACTGAGACGCCTCTCTTTTGGCCACTCTGTGGACATGACCTGAGTATTTCACCAGATCACTGTCTACTCAAGGTTGCCAAGCTTTAACACGAGACAGCTCTCTGATACCCTTTTGGCTTCAAGACAAAAGCGGCACTGACAACTAAGAAGAGAAACGTTTCAGGTCCGATTCCAAACAGTCAATCACAAGGTCTCATGCTATCCCTAACTGTGTTCATTTATCGGGTGTTGGCGTTCAAATTACTTAGGTTCTTAGAAAGCACGATTTAAAGCCAGCCTAAAAATGGACAATGTTCATCTGAATCCAATTAGTGAGAGCTCAATCGGTGCTGACACACAACACATTTACTGAATCATATCATGTCCAGGCATCAAGAGGTGCATAATGTTGGCGCCAAACTGTCTCTGTTTCTCCTTCCTGCATGCACTGTAAGATGCCTATAAGACGAGTGGAATTTTAAATGACCTGTGAGAGCTTGATGTTGCCACCTCTTTATAGAAACATTCTTTCACTGCTGTCCATTTCAGCTCACTCAACATATTTGCTGCATTGGCATTCCTGTGCAGCTTTGAACACACATGACGGTAATAAAGGTGGTGAATGAGCGGGATCAGAGCATGTGTGCACCCCGTGTTTGTGTGCACACTCACTGAGTGTTTCACCGAGTAGTTCATGATGATGTAATCTTTCCCTATTGGCAGCCAGGACCGAAGAGTGATGACATCACGGTTCCGAAGAGGTTTTGGACACTTCCCTTGAATAAAACAAACAAAAAACAATGAAACTCTTAAATCAGTTTGCCCATAGACCCAAAATGTAAATCGTCTCAGACGGAACCGTTATGTCAGCGGGCCAAATACATGAGTAGTAGCCGACATCTGCGTTGACGGTGAGTTTCCCGATATCAAACGTTTCGATGACATTTGAGTCCCACTTCCGTCTGTATTCGATGTCATGAAGAACATCATACATGGTGTCGGCCGGCACGTCCTTATTCACCATACGACACTGTTAGAAAGAAAGAGAGAAGTTCAGTGTTTCAGTTTTAAATGACAAAAAAAACAA